TAATGATTAATCACCGTCATTATTATTCTCATTCATCATAATTATGTGAATATTGTACGGTTGACTGGTTACTGAACGGGTACAATTCTTGTTTAATGTCGATCAAATTTAATTGATCAATGTTTGAAATGTGATCATTAGTTTAATTGACTGAACATTATGATCAATGATTGGAGATGATGGAAATTAAACTTTATACAGACTTATATTATGTATTATTTGGTATTTATGGTGGGCAATGTATTTCCCGAATTACGTCTGTTACACCTTTTGTATCATGATCCATCGACTAAAAGTCTCCAAACTCTCTTTTCTAAATGTTTTCAAGTAGTACTTATTCTTTTGATGTTTGCCTTATTAGATAATCGTATAATTAGTTTCGTAACCTATAACGTTACCACTAAACTCCTAGATGGGAGACTGATTTATTTATTTAAAGACATTAACATTTGGTACAAAAAGGCACCAATTAGATATGCGCCAAATAAATCATTCGATTTGTGTGAGGATTGGGATAGTGTCCGGGCGCACAAACCAAAGCAGATGGTTTACTTAAGGAGCCACACTCGGAGTCTTCAACTTGAAGATCTCATCCACAAGATAGAGGAGTAACGTCAGGAGATTCTGCCCTGGGTGAACCCTCCGTGTCCAGCAATCCGGTTAAAGCCACTGCTGGACATTCGGTTTTTGTCCTCTCAATTTCGTAAACACCAATGAATGCTGCGAGAATGCAGTGATTAGGACTTCCCTGTCAGTGGTTATATGCACGTAGTCATATGATAGCATTCGTAGCAGGAGAGCTAACTTGGGTACTTTTCATTCTTTTAAACTTAACGATTCAATATCGATTTGGTAATTTTATTGAATTATGGGATCCAGAAATAAAATTCCAACACATTCTATACAACCTAGTTAGTAGACAGGGTTTTTTTCGTTAAGAAATAAATTGTATTTACCGACTTACTTACTCCTGTTACCCATCGTGTAAGAGCCTAGACCGTCCACCAGCATTCTCTATCCAACTCTTTCTTCAACAATCCTTTCCACTTCTTTCCAGTCGCTATTCATCCTTTTCATGTCTGCTTCCAATTCTCGACACAATATGTTCCTTGGTTTTCCTCTTTTCTTTTTGTTTCACTTCAGAATTCCAAGTTGGCACTTATTTCGTGATGCAGTTTGATGATTATAACAATGTATGTCCTATCCACTTTCAACATCTTTTCTTAATTTCTTCTTCAGCTAGAAGATAGTTTGTTCTCTCTCACAGTAGGTTGTTGCTGGTTGTATCCGGTCAACAGACATTCAATATCTTACATTGACAATTGTTTAGAAATACTTGCATATTTTTGATGATAATTATAGTAGTTCTTCACGTTTCAGCTACGTGCAGTAGGACTATATTGACGTCACTGAGACATGTAAGACCACTTTTCAGATCTATTCTTAGAAGGATAAAGTATTGGAATACGTGACTTCTAATTCTGTAGTGTGCTACTGATATAGACAAATATAAGTAGTATGTATCGTCAATCGAAAGTGAGATGTCTGGAGGTAGAAGGTTGATTAAATTAAAGAGAAAAGAACAAGAACAGTGAATGATTATCATGGAAACGAAAGAACAATGAAGTCTGAGACGATTAATTGACATTTTGCAAATGAGGTATTTACTATATGATTCTCAGATTTTACTAAGAGATTGTGTCATTTTGTATTCACATACATTTGGTTGTTACCACTAGTGTTCTTGTTGACAACAGTATGACAAGTGATTAGGTAATATAAGATGCATTTTTGGAATAGAAAACAATGTAAAGGATAAGAGTCACTTTGTCTTATTTGGGACTTGTTAGTTGGATGTGCCTATATCCCCTTCATTTCAACAAACGCCATCGAGTTATCCACTTGACTACTGAATGTCAGATTTCACTATGAGATTCTATAATTTCGTATTCAAATACATTCGATTGTTCCCATTTGGTATTCTTATTCACTACACTAATACCTTTAGTTTCTAAATGGAAAAAAAACTGAATAAGTTAAATTGTCTTTAGTAGAAACCACTTTACAAACTACTTTAACAATCAACATCTGCTTGGTAATTGTTGTACAGTCATAGTTCAAATCTCATAAGGTCAAATAGAAACGAGACCTTCATAAATCAATGTGCTAATGTATGTTTCTTAACTGAAAACACCATGGGTGTTTCTAACCTAATAAGATTAAATAGCACTTATGTTTATGTGTTTCTTTGGTTTTAATGATGTAATAGGTACATTTGGTAACTTCGGTAATCGTATGGATTGTTATGAAATATATTAATGTTTATATGATTCATTCTAAACAATTATCATTCCCGGAATGAGAAGGGGGAGTTTGTAGAGATTGTAGTAATTTTAATGGTTGAATTTATCAGTCGATCTAAGCTAGAAATATCATTGAAAATTTGAAAGCATTGGATGACCGTTTCGTCTTAGTAAGGAACTCTACAGAAGTGCACATCTATGGTCTCGCATACCGGGCCAGAACCCAGGACTTTTGACCTCTCACACTAACATCTAACCTGTAGACTAGTGAGACTTCATCCAAAGGTGTTAATGTCTAGCTTTAATCAAAATTTGTTCTTGAGCAACCCTTTATTCATTGTTTGAAGTGGATAACTTTCTCCACGGCCTCTCACTAGAACTCCAGAGAATCCACAAATCACCATTCTGATTATAATCATGTGCTTACATGTGACTAACTGTGATCAGTGGAGTCCAATCTGTGTTGAATAGATACAGTTATCCATCACTGACAATGGATGAAGGGTCAAGCAACATCATAGATCGATTGAAGTTACACATTAACACCGCTGGATGTTATTTCAGTGGTCTACAGATTGTGTTCGCGGACGCGACGGAATGTCCTGGTTTCGAATCTCATATGTGGGATCGTGCATGTGCGTTATTGACCAGTCCCATACTATGACGAAACGGCCATCCAGTTTTTCCAGATTTTCAATGATGGCCTAACACTGATCGTTTCATCATACTAAACTGAAGTTTTTATTTTTGAACTATTTGACTTCAAATTAGTGATCTAAAGGCAATAAACACTGATCAACTGATTTAATAACTATGGTTTCAGTCCTTCTACAGGTATAATAGGATGAAACAATTAATCAATACTTCGTTATGTTTTCCTGTAATTGCCTAGTTTTAAACACTTACTCTACTGAAGTAACTGTTGCTGTCTATGTATCACTCAGTTTCACAGTTTCAGATATCCCTATTGACTTCCTATTTCTACGGATTGATCCATTAAACAAGTGACCAATGTCATTTATTTCTATTCTTTTATCCCAACTAAATTCTATCGATCATTGATAATGATCATGAAATCGATCAAATGTAATTAATAAAATAAAAATCATAAAAATAATTATAATCAAAGAGGGGTTCTATGGATATTATAGTAATTTCAATCGTTGAATTCATGAGTTAATTGAAATTAGACCACTATTGGAAAACCTGGAAGAACTGGACAGTGGTTTTGTCCTATTGTAGGACTCCTCAGAAAATTTTAACATGTTCATTCAAACACCACTGCGTTATCTACATAGTTACCGAGTCCTGATAGCCACTTGCTTGTGCAATAGGGTGGGTTTAAATTCACTTGGTATTGCTTGGCTTGTATCTTCCCATTGAGGTTTAAGACTGCAATTATCAAGACTTAGTAGCTGGGTGGATAACGCGGTGGCGTTTCGGTTTGAGTCCCAGAGTGAACATCAACTCTGAGATGTAGGTACATCCAGCTGACGAGTCCCAAATAGGACGAAACGCGCGTCGAACTGGATTCCACTGCTAGCTACTATCCATCATTGCTTACAAAAAGCTTGTGAATTAAGGCAATATCGAGGCATACGCACAGTATTCACCGGTTTCACTGTGTCGGTTCTAGTGATCAGTATATTCAAGAATGCTAGTTGGTTGTTTGACTCCTGTTCCATGGTGAACTTGATGTCATCGAAGACGTTGTTGATCAGGTTGAAAGTGTCTTCTAGTTCATTCTTTTTGACGATGACGAAGGTGTCGTCTACGTAGCGAATCCAAATTTTTGGTTTGATCACTGGTAATATAGCGGCTTCTAGTCTTTGCATCACTGTCTCTGCGATCAATCCTGATATTGGTGATCCCATTGGTGTCCCTTTCGTTTGTTCGTAAATTTTGTTGTTGAATTGAATTCAACAACAACAGCACAGTATGCACATATGCCAATAACAGATTGATCAATTGCAGTCCTAAACTTCAATGGGAAGATACAAGCCAAACAATACCAAGTGAATCCATTTCTTTCTAGTATGAAGCTGTTCAACAGTGTTCATTCATGATCCCATAAAAGATCTAACATAAGGATTTTAGGCCTATTGACGAGTGCTTGATATTGACAGCATTAAATTATCATCTTGTAATGTATATGTATCACTTCAATCTATTTGTGATCTTGTATGATCACTTTATTTTGGCTAACATACGTTAGTATGTAATCCCAATAACTCTTGACGATTTTCCCAAACCTCACGATATTGATCATTATCATGTGTTCACTAGTGACTAGTCTTAATATTTAATTCTTGGAGTTTATATTGGAAACTATAGACGGTTTAGTTCAGCCATGCCACTTGTGAAACATTTCTATGCTATAGACAATGTAAGTTGATAGAGTAATATTTTGAATTGAATGAAGTCAAACATGTACATCTTTGGATGCAAGCTCAGAAGCCGAGAGGTTAGGAATCATATATAAGATCAAAGGTCCTATGTTTGATTCTTTGTGGTGAGATAGTGGGTGCTCATTACTTTGATTGAAACAACTATCTAGGGCTTTTTGATTGTTAATGGTTGTTCAACTTAGGTTGGTTTGTAATATCAACAATATTTAGTTGTTGTTTATAAACAAACACGAGATACTGTATCCAATATGACTATAATGAAATCGTGTTTTTATTTATTCCTTTTCAGATTTCTTCTCCTCTACGTCCGGAACAAATTTCATATATCGTAAGTAGTATATAAAGTACTTAATATGATATAATCTCAGAAGAGGTTTTTGGGGATGTTATAATAATTTTAATAGTTGAGACTGATAGGTCCTGGGTTCGAATCTTGCGAGGAGGGATCGTGGATGCACACAGCTGAGAAGTACCACATTAGGAAGAAACGGCCTTCCAGTCCTTCCAATGTTTTCCATGGTGGTCGAGCTTCAATTGACTCGTGATCTCAACTATTAAAATGATATAATCTGCTTATGAATATACATATATACTGTAAACTATTTAAAATATTAGTAGTATAGATGTCTTCCACGATAATCACTTTAGTTGACGAATATCAAAGAGAAGAGCAAGATGAATATTTCCTATGAAGTAACATTATGTCTACAATCCATTTGCTAACATAATGCCTCAGTAAATGATGTATGCTTACTCCGCGCCCAATTCCCCTACTTTACCTTGTATTGGCACCGGCAATAACCCTAGAAGAGCTAGAGAATGAGGTTTCTGAATTAATGTCCAACCCTCCTTCCTTATCCGATCTTGAAACCGGCTACAAAAAGGTGGATTTGTAAGTTCGAATAACATAAATACATTTATTTCGTGGATTTTTTCGCAGCTATCCGCAACCTAAAACCGTACTATCGACCATTAAAACAAAACACGTATATATATTTTATAGTTGAAACATCGTGATTAGATTCACTAAATATATAGAGATAGAATAATATTAAACAGTGACCAGTGGAGTTCAACCTGGTCTGTTGTGAGATAGTAACTCACTGAAGACAATGATGGACGGTGGCTCAATTTCGTGGATTTGTAGAAATTAGACATTGACATCATTGGATATCGGCCGGCTCAGTAGTTTAATGGTTAAGCGCTCGCTTGCTAGACTGATACGTCCTGGGTTCGAATCGCGCAAGGCGGAACTGTGGACGTTAACACCATTGGATATCGACCAGCTCCGTAGTCTAGAGGTTAGGCGATCGCGGGCGAGACTGATAGGTACTGTGTTGGAATCTCGTAGGGCGGGATCCTGGATGTACTGTGTTGAGAAGTCTCATACTAGGACGAAACAGCCAACCAGTCCTTCCAGGCTTTGCATATATTACAGTCTCACCCTATATTTTTAATACACTAAATGTATATTTACTCTTCCTTTTTTCTATTCAATAATAGCTTAGTCGTAATAAAACATTCGATGAAATTTCTATGCCATCTGCATGGATTGCACCATTTCCATCCAAATGTGTCACTGGAAAATTTACACCTACATCATTCAAATCAGATAATAATCAAATTGATCATTTACATCAACGTATAAGTCCTAGTCTTATACAAACAACTCCATTGAATATTCAACCGAATGTAACAACTTCACAATTAGATCATCAACAAAAGATTAAATCAAATCAATCATGGTCAAAAACTACTGATGATCCATATGGTACATCATTAGTATGCAGTTTATCAGCTGAATTAGCTAGTGTTGGTAGACAAAGATTTCGTTTAACTTATATTACAGATCGTCTATTAGGTAAGTTATTGAATGATGTAATATGTTAAATTATTTTATAAATAAATTTGATCAGAAAGAATTTCTTGTTATTGTTGTACTCAAGTGCATCCGATTGTCTCCATTTTTGTGTTCTTGTTTACTACATTTGGTTTCGCTGCCAACCAGGAAGGGAAGGATGCCGTTATGTGGACGCCGTTGAGAACCTAGAGATGAGATGCTAGTTGAAGCGGCCCGGTGAGGGAAGGTGACGCTGAGTGAAGTATTCTGGCGGGGTGGCGTTGATGGAGCGCAGGCGTTAAACGTCTCGGATACCGGGTGGACATTGGATGTTGACGACTCGGCGAGTCGATAGGGCTATGAAGGGAAGCGCACCACAGATTCGACATTTTGATGGAGAGCATGGCACAGATTGCAATAAAGTGGCACGGCGGGCACAACCACTGCAAGAATGACTGCTTTAAAGGAGGGACAAGTGTGGTGTGTGTTCGATGTATATCGACATAAGTAGTATATTACCCCAGTCAGGAATAGAATGTCTGGTAGCAGAAGATCTAGAAGATCGTGCAGGAAAGAACGGGAACAGAAAGCAATTGGTATGCAAACACAGAAACAATGAAGTCTGACACAATTGATTGACATTTTTCAAATGAACTATTCGCTGTATGGTTCACAGTTTTTATTATGATATTCCGTAATTTTGTGTTCTACTACATTCGATTGTTCCTATTTGTGTTCTCCTTCCCTACGATTTTTACTCCCATCATTTTTTTTTTGATACAGTACACAGATCAATAAATTACGAATAAATCATCCGGTTTACAAAATGAAAGCCCATCGTAGATTCACACTGCTGAGAAGTTCCATACTAGAACGACATGATCATCCAATGTTTCTAGGTTTTCCAGGATGGTTTAGATTACATCGACTCATATGAAAAATTCCATGTGCCAACAAAAGCATGATCAGTTTTTATATATGACCCAGATAGGGTCATAGATGTTCACTATGATGAAGTCTTATATTTAAATCATAAAGTAGTTTGCCATTGATTCTTGATTTCTAATTGTGTAATGTAAAGCATTTCAATAGTTTCCATAAGAAACAAACATTTATGTAATTGAAACATTATTGTTTGATTCAAGTATCATATTACACAGTTCTAGAACAAAAACATCTTTTGGCCAGACTAGAATTTATGAATGAACCAATCACAGGTCTCGGATTTTGGCGCTAAATTCATTCATCCATTTGGATAAATAGAGTTTTGCATTATAGCTGTTCATGGTAAAAATCTAATCTTAACCATCAACTGTATATCGTAATTCGAATTCCTCACACACTGGTTTATAACCCTCATTTGGTCCTAGTTATTAGGAGGACACTCTTAAGGTCAGTCTGGCGTCGCTTAAAGGTTGTCTATAAATTGCTGTCTCACCCAACATTTTTTATCGAATGTGTAATGTTCATTGTTCAAGTAATTTTGTTTAAATCAACTGTATCATGCCCCTAAATGCCCTGGTAAGACCAAGAGTGTGGAGAGTCCGCTCTCTCTCTCTCCAAATGCTCTCACATGGCCACGCGTATATAGCCTCTGCCAGGGAAGTCCTACTAACTGCCTTCTCGCACCACGGGTGTTGTTTACGAAATTGAGAGGACGGAATGCGAACGTCCGTAGCTTTAACCGGGTTGGTGGACATGGAGAATCCATCTAAGGGGGTTTGACTTGCTATTCCAAATCTGATTGGTTCGTCCATCAATGATAGTCCCACCATGTTAACTTGAATCAGCTTATTTGTTAAGTGACAGTATTAAGATCCATGATCAGAATGAATATGGGTCAGATAGGATGAGAGGAACAATAGTAGAATGAATGCAAAGTAAATGAATCATATAGAGGGGCGATTGATAATGATGTTTAACCAATAGTAATAATAATAATAATAATAATAATAATAATACAAAGATATGTGAATGAAGATAACAGAGACAATTATAGTTGATTACGAAAGGTCGTAAGTACAATAGTCAAATTAGGTCATTCAAAAGATAATAATTGATAATAATTGACCTTGAGATTGAACAGGGGAAAAGGAGTGGTTGAAGATATTTTGTCCGTACACTTAGCTCCGGTTTCTTCATCAGGATAGTTACTGCTTTAGCCGTTTAAAGGACTTGGATGCCGGTTCAGTGGTCTAGTTGGTTAAGCTCCTGACACAAGACTGATAGTTCCTGGGTTTGAATGTCGCGGGGTGCGGGATCGTGGATACGCACTGCTGAGGAGTCCCATACTAAAATGAAACGACCGTCCAATGCTTCCAGGTCTTCTATGGTGGTCTATATTCAATTGACTCATGATTTCAATCAGTGAGACTTGAAATGTGACAAGCTTTTGGCAAAAATATTACTGACCATATAAATAATTGGAAAAGGATTGGTTTATACTGGCATTATGACCAGTTTGTACTAAATAAGCCAATATCGAGCTGTTCACTTTCTTTATCAAACCTTTGTTTAGCCACGCTGAGAGGTGTTTACGAGCACGAAAATGTAAATTCCTAGAATTATGACCAATATAACTGTCAAACAACACCAAAGTCATAATTTTCAATACAAATGTCAAGACAGTTCTACTGTATGGGGCGGAAAGTTGGAGAACTACGAAAGTCATCATCCAGAAGATACAAGTGTTTATAAACAGTTGTCTATGCAAAATACTTCAAATCTGTTGGCCGGACACTATTAGCAACAACGTACTGTGGGAGAGAAAAATTAGATTCCAGAGGAGGAAGAAATCAGGAAGAAGTGCTGGAAGTGGATAGGACACAAACTGAGGAAAGCAACTAACCGTGTCACAAGGCAAGCTCTCACATGGAATCTTCAAGGCCAAAGGAAAAGAGGAAGACCAAAGAACACATTACGCCGAGAAACGGAGACAGACATGAGAAGAATGAACAAAAGGAGTGTAGAACTGGAAAGGAAAACCCAGTAGAGAATGAGTTGGAGAATGCTGGTCGACGGTCTATGCTCTATTAGAAGTAACAGGCCTAAGTAAGTTAGTAATAATAATATAAAGAATCCAAAAAGGTTTTAATAGTTGAGTTCATGAGTTGATGTAAGCTAGACCACTACTGAAAACTTAGAAGCACTAAATAGCCATTTCGTCATAGTATGGGACTCCTTAGTAATACACTTTCACAATCCAATATATGGGACTCGAGCACAGGACCTTCTATCTTGCCCTCATGCTCTTAACCTGTACATCAGTGAGCCAGTATCCAATATGTTAATGTCTTACATGACTAATGAACGTATTGTAGTTATGTATTCTGGTGTTTGTTTATAAATCGTGAAAGAAACACAATAAATGAAATTTTCTGATGTAACTATATAATAAAGGATCTCGTATAAACATAGAAAGTGTTTTCATGACTTTCATGATCCATGATCTCATTCATGGGATTCGAACTCAATCTCCAAAACCCCCCTCTTTAATTGATGTATTGTAGAAAGATTTCTAATCGTTTTTCTCTTTATGAATTAGTTCTATTTTTACTAAATCTCCATGGTGTTTAAACTTTACTAGGAATATTGATATCAAATTATATACGTCAGTTAATATATATCTCAATAGTTGAAATCATAGGTGAATTAAAGCTAGACCACTATGGAGAACCTGAAAGCACTGGAAAGCCGTTTTGTCCTATTATGGGACTCTTCAGTAGTGCACATATACGATCCCGGCCACCTGAGAGATTCGAACCCAAGACTTATCAGTGTAGCTTCAATTGACTCATGATTTCAACTATTGAAATTACTAAAATCCCCACAAAACCCCTTCTGACAGCTAACATATAATCTAATCTTCCTATTATCTTTAATGTTATAAACAGTTATAGCGAATGTATTTATATTATTCTCATGTAATTATGGTTACAATTCTATTTGATTTGTATGTCATTGTTTCTTTTATTCGGTAGTCAAATGATACAACATCTGGTCATTGTGTTTTGTTTTGTTTTTGGATAACATAAAAGAGATATGATAAAAAAACAAACCATCAAACATATGTAGATTAACTGTTACCATGACTATAGTCTTCACAAAACAAACCCCCTGCCTACATTCGAATTATAATTATCATGTACTTATTAGTGACTGGATTCAAGATAGATATTCTTGAAGTTCTAGTATGAAGCCATGACTAGTAGTGTTCAATTTATGTGAAGTAAAAACAGGTATCTATCTTAAACAATGAATGAAGGGTTGCACAAGATCATGGATTAATTGAAACTAGATAATAACAATGTTGGATATTGGTTTAATGATCTACAGGTTAAGAGTTTGCGTGCAAAGCCGAAAGTCCTGGGTTCGAGTCCAACTTGTAGAACTGAGGAGTTCTATACTATGACGAAACAGTCGTCCAATGCTTTCAGGTCCTCAATGGTACTCTAACCTGAATCGATTCCTGAATTCAACTTTTATAATTACTACAATCTCTACAAAACTCCCATTCTAATAATAAAAGTTGTTTGTTATTAGTTAAGTAGTAGCGATAGTCTATGATTGGTATTTATTTAAAATGTCATCCAAAACTGTGGAGGACCAGTGTTGTATCCTAGAATAAGATTCCTTAGCAGTTCACATTCATAATCTAATCAGGGACTGAGACTAGGAACTATCTTTCTTTTAATGACTCTCTAACCATCAGTTATCTGAAATGATATTAAATTATTTTTGTTTCTTAATTCACTCAAATAGGTAGGTAGGGTGACAATTATCCAACATAGTTGAGCACAAGCCACAGTTATCCATTTGAATCTTAAGAATTAATGTCAACGAAATCCAATAATTATATCATTTCAATAGTTGGGATCATGAGTCAATTGAAGCTAGGCCACCATAAACTGACATTTTGATTTGTTGTCAAATCTTGTTCGTCATGATATACTTACTTACTACTACTAACGCTTGTTACCCATCTTGGAGGAGTATAAGCCACCCCCCCCCCATCACTCACCATTCAACCCTTTCCTCAACAATCCTTACCAATTCTAATAAAAGAACCACTTTGTGAGCATATGCAATCGATGATTAGCTATCATACATATCACTCCTTAGAGATCTGGTTTCATCTTCGAGGATATTTGATGAATCAGTTCAATAGAATTGGGATCTTGTTGTTTAGAAAGACGAGTGAGTAGAAGGAAAGAAGTCAACCATCATGGTTGTATCTCTTCAAATGTTTCACTCATTGATTCCGGATAATTTGATAAACATTTGATGAGTACATGTAAGTACACATGATTAATAGATAGATTTATGGCAATTAATTCATGATCAGAGATAGGTTTTGTAGATGTCACAATACTTTAATAACTGAATTCATAAGTCTATTGAGAATAGACCACCATGAAAAACCTGGAAGCACTTGACCACAGTTTCGTCCTAGTATTGGACTTCTTATAAATTCAACTATTAAAGTACTATAATATCGGCAAAATCCCTCTCTGATTATAATCATCATACACCCACTGGTGACTGGCTTCAAGAAGTATTTCCTGGAGTTTTAGTGAGAAGCAGTGACCAGTACAGTTCAACCGGGTCTGTTGTGAGATAGTAACTCACTGAAGACAATGGTAGACGGTAGCACTATTTCGTGGATTGGTAGAAATAACACATTAACACCGTTGTATGACGGCCAACTCAATGATCTTGAGGTTAAGCGATTGTGCACGAGACTGAAGGTCCTGAATTCGGATCACCCATGTGGGGTTGTGGGTGCAGACTGCTGATGAGTCCCATACGAGGACGAAATGATTGTCCTATGATTCTAGGTTTCCCATGACGATTTCAACTATTAAAATAAATTCAAGAACGGTAAAATACTGATTCAAAAATAATGAGCAATCCGCCCTATCCTTTAATTATTAACTTTTCACTTTAAGTCACTTTCATGAAGTCTTTTTATGGTATAATCTACTCTTTTATTATTTTTATGCTTCTCTTATGTCCTTCCTTTTAGTCGTAAGCTATCCACCTGAAGCAACCAAAACTGATCATAATGAAGGTGCTCGATGGTTATGTAAAGCATTTGAAAAACGTTATGGTGAAAATTATAGGGTATGTGATATGATATTATTACTAAGACTAATACTAATACTACTCAGATTATTACAGATACTACACACACTATTATCAGTACCACTATAATGCCACTTGGAATACTACTACTACTACTACTACTACTACTACTACTACTACTACTACTACTACTACTACTACTACTACTACTACTACTACTACTACTACTACTACTACTACTACTACTACTACTACTACTACTACTACTACTACTACTACTACTACTACTACTACTACTACTACTACTACTACTACTACTACTACTACTACTACTACTACTACTACTACTACTACTACTACTACTACTACTACTACTACTACTACTACTACTACTACTACTACTACTACTACTACTACTACTACTACTACTACTACTACTACTACTACTACTACTACTACTACTACTACTACTACTACTACTACTACTACTACTACTACTACTACTACTACTACTACTACTACTACTACTACTACTACTACTACTACTACTACTACTACTACTACTACTACTACTACTACTACTACTACTACTACTACTACTACTACTACTACTACTACTACTACTACTACTACTACTACTACTACTATACTACTACTACTACTACTACTACTACTACTACTACTACTACTACTACTACTACTACTACTACTACTACTACTACTACTACTACTACTACTACTACTACTACTACTACTACTACTACTACTACTACTACTACTACTACTACTACTACTACTACTACTACTACTACTACTACTACTACTACTACTACTACTACTACTACTACTACTACTACTACTACTACTACTACTACTACTACTACTACTACTACTACTACTACTACTACTACTACTACTACTACTACTACTACTACTACTACTACTACTACTACTACTACTACTACTACTACTACTACTACTACTACTACTACTACTACTACTACTACTACTACTACTACTACTACTACTACTACTACTACTACTACTACTACTACTACTACTACTACTACTACTACTACTACTACTACTACTACTACTACTACTACTACTACTACTACTACTACTACTACTACTACTACTACTACTACTACTACTACTACTACTACTACTACTACTACTACTACTACTACTACTACTACTACTACTACTACTACTACTACTACTACTACTACTACTAGTCGTAATAAACTTCTTTACTCCATCTGCTTATTGATAATGAAATTTTTATGGTAATTAATTGTCGTTTACTATGCCGTTAATCAATTCCCGCTCATTATTCGAACAAGAATCAGGGGTTTGGATTCATTTGATCGTTTTGGAAATCTGATTGTACATTTTCAGAAAAATTTCAGCATATCTGACATGTACCTAGTCATGTGATCAGTGATGTGTTTCGTCCTTTATTTTGAGATCATCAACTGAATAGAAACTGTATTGCATTATTGTTGCTTTATACTAAGACTCGAACATACTACCTTTTTTTTCAAATGTCCAACATGTTGCCCAATGAGTTCACATGCCTACCGATTTGTTGTGAATAGATATATATATAACAGAAAAAATTGGAGGATTTCATTTCTGACTATCAACAATGATGAAATACAAACACTTACTAATATCCACAACTAACTGCTGAGATAATTTCCCCTTCATAAAGTTAAACGCGATACGCCGAATATCAAAACGCGAATATTAGCTACAGTGAGAATCAATTAAGGCTACTTACCCCTAAAAATGCCCATCAATAAAAGCTTACTGGTGTTCATCAGTTTCGTAGCTACAGTCAGTTCATGGCATAAAACTACATAATTCAACAATATCCGCCCCCAAATGCCTTGGTATGGCCGAGAGTAGGGTGGGACCGCCCTCCCTCTCGAAATGCTCTCACACGGCCACCATATACAGCCTCTGTCAAGGAAGTCCTACTCACTGCATTCTCGAGGTCGGGGTGTAGTTAACAAAATTAAGAGGACGAAAAGCGAATGTCCGGCAGGGGCTTTAACCGGATCTGTGTTTTAAAAATAATCTAATCATTTCAACTGAATTGTTCCACTTATAATCATTCTCTTTTCAATTTATTTACAGATATTTAATCTGTCCGGTTTCACCAAAGAATTACACTTTTCAAGTCGAGTAAGATTAGAATTTTTAAATATATTTTATTGATTAGTTCAATTCATGGATCGATGTAAGCTAGATCACCATGGAAAACCTGTAAGCACTGAAAGTCTGTTTCATTCTAGTATGAGACTCCTCATCAGTGCGTATCCACTAACACCAACTAGACCGCTGAGCCAGGTTTCGAATCTCGCGTGTTGCGGTGTCGTGGATGCGCACTGCTGAGGAGTCCCATACTAAGACGAAACGGTCGTCCAGTGCTTCCAGGTTTTTCATGGTGGTCCAGCTTCAATTGACTCATGATTTCAATCAAAAATGTAATATACCTGTGACATTTATTGATACAAGTTCTTGTTATCATACAGATAAGTCCTTTCACTGTTACAAGTACATCTTATTAATATGCATCGTCTAACTGGAAGCCTATATCAACCTACATAATAGCTTGATATTATGTTAAAGTGTAAATACATCAAAACATACTAATGTGTTATAAAATTTATTCACTATCCATAATATACTACTGAGATGCATAGGTTAGTAGTTTATCTCTTATTGAGTTCTAGGAGAAAAATTATTTGTCACTGTCTGTTAATATCGACTTTTTGTATAATACCACCGAGATATGTGATCCGAGATCGATGAATGATGATGTCATTAACCTTGAATCTGGCTGATAGTGACTTAAGTCCTGTATGAAGAATCATGATTGTAGGTACACCTCTTTGAGGATTGTCAGCTGGCATGAAACTTAGGTTAAACAAAGTTTTTTATGGTCTACGTTAAATTACGTTGCAAATGTTTCAATAGACTAGGTATCGTTAAGCACATATATATCTGTCTAAACAATAGTTTCTTAATGTTACTAGACTTATAAGTCAAAATAGTTTCCTAATGACCACTTCCAATCAACTTACATCAATATAAAGTTCAACCTTTCAACCAACCTATGAAACTCAATGTAGTATGAAAGATAACTTGAATAACAGACATCACCTTAAGGTAATTTCAAAGGATCAAGACATATACTAATAACATTATTTCTATTCTTGATGAAATCCTTAATACTTACTTACTTACTTACTTACTTACTTACGCCTGTTACTCCCAATGGAGCATAGGCCGCTGACCAGCATTCGCCCACCCACTCTGTCCCACTCCGCCTGGAGTCCCTCCGGGGGCTACTGCCGGTCCCAAGCCCGGATAAAGAAGAAGGGTTGGGCATGGCGTTAGCGTCCCCATCCCGTAGAAAACTAACTCGCTAAAAAACGCTAACCAGAAATCCTTAATAAGAAGTGAGTAATTATCATAATTGTAATTTTGTCTAAAAGTACACCAGTATACTGGTAAACTCTATCTTAAAATTCAGGAACTTTAAGTATATGACTTAAGTTTTATGTGCTTCTTTATCATTTTAGACTCCTGTAATTGATCTGTTCTGGGCAGGAAAACTTGCTCCCGCTTTAGAACAACTAGTGACAGCTATTGATCAGTTAGACTTTTGGCTTCATAATCATGATATTCCATCAACAAATGATATCAAAAAATCTAAAGAAATCAACAATATAAATAATCGTGTAGCTGTTCTTCATTGTACCGGACCAAAATGTCTATTAGCAACATATTTAGCTGTTTATATGTGTCAATCAAAAGCAAGATTTGGTCCATTATACGGACAAAGACCTGGTTCACCAACTGCACGTGGTTTACAATGGAATGAGAATCGATTAAGAAGGTATGTGTTCGTAAAAACTGATCGTTTGATTTCTACATTGTAGATATCACTGTTGGTTATAGAAACAAAGGTTTGTAGGTATATTATCTGCTGTATGAATGTTTTGATTTGATTTATTAGTATAAAATAAGATCGAAATTGCGAAAATATAAAGATGCCAAAAGCATTTGAAGTAACACTTTCTATAATCGAAACGTGCCCACTCAGTGAAATCAGAAGTCAAAAGCCAAGAGGTTCGAAGATATATTTGATAGGCTATCAATATATCGAGAAGTGATCGATGTAAACTAGGTATTTCTTGTAGGAGAAGTTGAGCACAGCGTACCCACTCGTAATGTATAACCGAGCGCCTTCAGCTAGATGAGTCTATTAGAACTAATATGGTCAGTATCAAATGTCGAAGACTCACAGAGTTATTGATTTTGAGGATTTCTTTACCATTACAAATGTATTATGCAGAACATTGTCAACATTCTTAAGATTAAGAATGAAAATTGATCATTCAACGATAGAATAAACCAACTTATTTTTAAATCACTATATTATAAACAGCCTTTCGTCCTATTGTGGGGCTCATCAGCAGTGCGCATCCACAATCCCGTCGCCCCTCCCGCCAGATGCGAACCCAGGATATATCAATCTCTCGCGCAAGCGCTTAACCATTAGACCACTGAGTCAGAATTCATGCCCCTGTCAGCTATGTTGACAATAATGGAATCTGATGAGTCTAATTTTTGGACGATCTTTGAGCAACGCCAAAGTAACCTTGAGAGCGTTTACCTATTTACCATTGGTAAATGAAGGTTATAAGTCAGTTTGAAGAATAGGATTCTGATTTACAATTGATGGTTAAGGTTAGGAATTAGATTTAGGATTTTCATCATGAAATAACATCAACTTATATGTCTGAATGAGTGAGTGAATTTCGCGCCAAAATTCACTACTTGTTATCTTAAATCTGATTGCTTCGTCTATAAATTATAGTCCCGCTGTAAACTTGAGCTCATTGTAAGATTTCATTGTTCTATATTCAATCACTGATGATGTAATAAGTGCATATTCTGGTCTTCAATAATTATCTAATTGAAACTAATCACAATTGATTGATCACTGGGTGGTGATCAATCTCATGCTTGTCTAGTCCTTATTAGTGCAGATCGAATGCTATCGATCATGTTGCAATGTGGCCACCAGTCTAGGTGACTCGACACTGCGGGCACTATGTAATGAGATTAGATGGTGGTTGGAGGTAGTCAACAGGAAACCCTGGACCCGGGTTTCGTGCTACTTGGCACTCGTCAGCAAGGTGTACCTGTAATCTTGAGGGAACTGGTGCTCCCTGGCGGATTCGATCTCGTGTCATCTAATCTCATTACATAGTGCCCGCAGTGTCGAGTCACCTAGACTGGTGGCCACATTGCAACATGATCGATAGCATTCGATCTGCACTAATAAGGACTAGACAAGCATGAGATTGATCACCACCCAGTGATCAATCAATTGTGATTACATCTCAGTCCTACAGAAGGTTAGTCACGGCTCGGATAGCTCAGTGGTAACGTCTCTGACTGTGAAGCTGGGTGACACGAGATCGAATCCGCCAGGGAGCACCAGTTTCCTCAAGATTACAGGTACACCTTGCTAACGAGTGCCAAGTAGCACGAAACCCGGGTCCAGGGTTTCCTGTTGACTACCTCCAACCACCATCTAATTGAAACTAATCCATTATGTAAAACTAACTTCATGTTAACATATATTTAGAGTACAATTTGATCAAACTACAACTGAATAAATTACAGCATAGAATTAGTTGTCAACTAACCATTGAAAACCTGGAAGCACTTGACAGCCATTTCGTCTTATTGTGGGACTCCTCACAGGTGAGCATTCACGATTCCACTCACAGGATTCGAATCCAGGACATTCAGTCTCGTACGCAAACACTTAACCTCTAGACCACTAAGTCGGCATCCAACGGTGTTAATAATAATTGAGTCCTTCTCTCTACATCAAATTGGTTGATATGTAATGAATACTGAGTGAAGTTTAATGAAATGATTTAAATTGCATATCATTGTGTTTAACATACATCTAATTAACATAATAATGATAAAGTTCATTATCTATCAATATCAATATTAAATGAACAAATCGTTTAAATAACTGTTGAGACAATACAGAGAATTCTTTGAAAAAAGACAAAAACATGTCTCTGAACATGCTGGGAAACATTTTATCCAATCAACGTCCCTAAATGCCCTGGTAAGGCCAGGAATGGGGATAGTCCGCTCTCCCTCTCTAAATGCTCTCACATGGCCACGTGTATATAGCCTCGGCCTGGGAAGTCCTACTCACTTCCTTCTCGTGTCATTATTGTTGTTTACGAAGTTGAGAGGACGAAAATCGAATTTCCGGAGCTTTATCCGCGTTGGTGGGCACAGAGAGTCCACCCAGGGCAATTTGAAAACCCTCATTCCAAACCAATGGTGCACATGGGCTCCAGTATCCTGAAGGAACAAATGGCTTATGAACCAATCGTTGACCACCGGCTACCATGAGACCACATCTCCACTGCCTTGTGGATCAGACCTTCAGGTCGAAGGCTCTGAGTGTAACTCTCGAAGAAAACCACTTGCTTCGGTCTGGGCACCTTGGCAGTATCACAACCCTCACACATATAAGATGAGATCTGTGTGGTGCATATGTATTTGGTGCCTCCTTGTTAAAATAAACAACTAAATAAATATCCAATCAACGTTCACTAGAAATTTTGCCAGAAACTTCTAGAAAGTGAAAGCCACATGTCACGTTTCAGGTTAGATGATTACCTATACTGCTAGAAATTTCTGGAAACCCAAGGTCATGTTAAATACGATAGAAAACCCTAGATTTTCTGTACATAAACAGAATCTTTGGAGTAAAACAATTTCCTCTCATATTTCGTGCATTTTCTCTCGTATTCAAAGCACTATGTACATTTAGCTTGAAGGATTAATAGAGGATCATAGTAACTGAATCTAGCGTTCAATTAGATGAGTATAATATTTTTCAAGGGTTTTTTATTTCCAATAGGTTGATATCATAGATTACCGATAATTAGTCTCTAATTGTATTTCTGCCCCCCCCCTCTCCCCTTGAGCATATTATTTATTAAAATCATTCATGTCAATCAGCATTATGGTTACTTAACATTATGATGTATCTCAAATTTTAAAGGATTTCGTTTCTCAGAAGGGGTTTGTGGAGATTTTAGAAACTTCACAGATTGAAATCATGAGTCAATCGAACGTAGATCACTATGGAAAACCTGGAAGCACTGGACGGTCGTTTCGTCCCGGTATTGGACTCCTCAGTAGTGCGCATCCACGATCATGACCCCTGCGAGATTCGAACCCAGGACCTATCAGTCTTGCGACAGGCGCTTGACGAGTTTCATACTAGGACGAAACGGCCGTCCAGTGATTCCAGGTTTTCGGTAGTGATCTAGCTTCAGTTGACTCATGATTTCAGTCTGTGAGATTTAATTTCTATTAAAAAGATTAGGACCAACGTCAATTAGTAGTATCATACATAAGATATTACTGATCTATTAGTATTGTAGAGAGCAAGAACATAAGTGGAGGTGATCGAACGTGTTTGAACACAAAATTACATAATATCTCACTAAAATCTGAGAACCATACAGTAAATACACTTGGTATTGTTTGGCTTGTATCTTCCCATTGAGGTTTAAGACTGCAACTGATCAGTCTGTTATCGGCAAATGTGCATATTGCAGATACAAATCAAACAATACCAAGTGAATTTAAATTCACCCGATTGCACAAGCAAGTGGCTATGAGGAGTAAGCAGCTGAGTGGATAACGCGATGGCGTTTGAAGCGAATGTTACTGGGTTCGAGTCCCAGAGTGGACATCAAGAAGTGTGAGATGCGGGTACATCCAGCCGACGAGTCCCAAATAGGACGAAACGCGTGTCAAACTGGATTCCACTATTAGCCACTATTCATCATTGCTTGCATACAGTAAATACTTAGTTTGCAAAATATCAATCCATTGTCTCGAACTTGACTGTGCCTTATGCCTATATCAGTCCATCAACTCAGATTTCATATTAATTACCTTCCATTTCCGTTCTTTCCTTCTCGATCTTCTATTGAGATATATTCTACTTCTAACTATAGTTTTATACTACTTATTTGAATATAAGTAGATTACATCATAGTATAACTTAAAAAATTTATACTTTAAAGTTTGGCTTGATGCCAATTACACAAGTTTGTAGCTGATAGTAGCCGTATATTGATTGATCACTAAGTATGAAATACTGTTGTATCTATCTAGGCTATTCATTTGATCCAATTCTATCAATACAATATAATCCTTGTCATGTTATAAAATGATTTATTACATGTATTTTGTTATGTTTACATGAAAGGAAATGAGAGAAATAAAAAAAAAGAAACTCAGTTACAATTTCTTTCTTTTAATAGATTTAAACATGAACTTGTCTTGGGACATACCATATTGAAAAAATTCTATGAAGATAATTTAGCTAGAGAATTGAATCCTTCACAAAAAAGGTAAATATAACATTTCTTTTCTAGTTAAGATTCATTATTATGAATGAATTTTGTATCTTGATGGAGATCATTGAAAACCTGGAAGCATAGAGTGACCGTTTTGTCCTATTGTGAGACTCGTCATTAGAGTTCATCCATGATCCCACTCGCGGGATTTGAACCTAAGGCCTTCGGTCTCGTGCGGGAATGGTTAACTTCTAGATCACTAACCCGACATCCAACAGTGTTTATGTTCTTATGCTTGTTAGGTATGCTGAGGAATATACCAATAATTATCATGGTAAGTCTAATGATGTCCTTGGACGTTAAATGAACATTCCCTATTGGCCATTATTTATTTCAATCGTTAAATATTGTACAGATGTTGTTTTCTATTTTTATGGTACGATGTGGTCTGTTTGGTTGGTATGTAAACAGAGTATGTTTGAAATATAACGATCCATATCTCCGAAGCGGTGACTTGTGTTCTGGACTCAACTGGCTGGGCTAGACAGGGGAGCGGGGCCAATCGACACTAGGTCGTCCTTACGTGTTTTACGTGTCACCGATTCGATTGATAAAACGCCGCGCATCAAACCTGCAGTCTCACCCGTTATAACAATGCTCAAATAATTATATCACGTGATACGACCTCCAGTCAAAGATATCAACTTATACGACCAAATTAATAATACATAAACCTGTACGAGCAATCCAGTGTTCTTACTGGTAACTTCTTTCCTAACCCAGCCGGTTCAGTCCAGAACGTTAACATCAGCCTACACTGTATGAACCGTATATTTCATACATACTGGGTTTATATACAAACAAAGCAGACCAGACTAGACCATTAAAATGAAAATATGATGAAACTAAAGTGACCTTGAATATGTCCACCTACTTAACAGGGCTAATTGATGATTGTAAGCCAGTGCGATGAATTAGAATGATGATTTAAAGTGGATGGTTAGGGGTTAGAAATTAGATTTAGTGTTTTCATCACGAACTAAAATCAGTTATAATGCCAAAACTCTATTTAACCAAAATGGTTGGATGAATTTCAAGCCAAAATCCGTGACCTGATTGTTTCGTCCATAAATGATAGTTTCGTCAAGAATTACAGTTGTACAAGATCAATTCAAAAAGTGATTATGATTGTGAGAGACTGTAACTAATAAATTGAGAATAACTCAGCAATAGTCAATTTTATAACAGTAATTAATAAATCAAACGCAAGCTTATAACACAAGAAATATGAATATACATATAATATAATGATGGATAGTGGTTAACAGTGGAATCCAGTTTGACTCACATTTCCTCCTATCTGGGAATCGTCAGCTGGATTTAACTGCATCTCAGAGTTGATGATCACCCTGAGACTCGAACTCAGTTCCATTCGCTTCAAACGCCATCGCTTTATCCACTCAGCTACTGGTTATACACTAAAGATGTACATGTCATATTAGTCCATAAATAGATCCTAGCAGTTACCATTCATTCATTCATTCATTCTTTGTCTGGATATAACAGTATCCATATTGGGATTAATTTGAATATATAGGATATTCTTAATGAACCATGGTATTTTTGGTTCCAGTTCAGTTGCCTTCAATAGATCTGTATAGAAACTATTATAAAAGACAAACAAATGAATAAGCCTAAAATTTTAAGTCACTTGATTCATCATAACAGACACAATGATTGTGTGAGAATTTATTAAAATCTAACCTGAACAAAATTATTTCGTTTGGCAAAATGTATTTCATGTTAAGACTAGTAAAGATAAGTTTACATTGTGTGTGTGTGTGTGTGTCGTAATTGTGGTGGTGGTGGTGGGGATTGTTGGTGGGGGCAGAGGGTTCATTTGAAGTGAAAACTCGAATTCAATGACAAAGTCTATTGGTACTAAACGATTTGTTAGTTTCTGAGAGAAAAAAAGGCCGAAAATTTATTGTCATGGCTGAATCATTTAAACTACATCATGAGATAACAAATGAGAAAATAAATACTATGAGATAATTTCAACAAACAGTTTCTTCATCATCATCATTCTCTATTAGTTTATCTGTATAATGCAATTTCATTCTGAGATGATGGAGAAGATTTATAGCTCAGGTGGATGATTTTGATGGGGTTTTGTTCTTTGAGCTAGATGGTTTGGTCGTGCACAACCAAAATCTTTTGATTCCTAACGAGAATTTATGTTCAATAGTGTTCAGTCACATAAAGTTTCAAATAGGTATGGATAATGACAATGGAATATCGCTTCATAACGGTGAATTCTCTGTAGTTTGAAACGATTACATGTCAACTTAGTCGTTTGATGACTGATTGCTCGTTATAAGATTTAGAATACTCATATTCAATCTTAAATCACGATAGACAGTTAATCAGTCTCGAACAAGCATCATACATAAGTATTTGATTTCTACTCGTTTCTATCAGTTTTGTGTCAAAAGTCGTTGTTAGAAATGGAAAATACCATCAAATCATGTAGTAGATTTTTTGACTCAGATAACTATTTCCAGATAAAAGAGAAGTTTGTTTGAAGTATTGGCCAATGTTATTGTTTAAGATTGTGAGGATGGCCCATGGTGGAACTTGACAAAGCTGTAAGAACCTTAGAAAGAGTCGAAAACATTCTACCCAATCATCTTTCGGAAGAACATTCCAGAGTCCCTACGTGTAGCTTCCCCGTTAGACAAATATTAAAGACTACCGTATACGGATTGGATAATGACTATATTAATGAGTTTACTTTATTAAAAATTATAAATACCTGAGAATTTTGTACCATATTTAACATTGTTTTAGAATAAGATTCTTCCCAACTGGTCTTCAGTCTTTGAACTTGCGACTTCCAGGATTCTAGAGTTCGACTCCTCAAGTTGTACGTGGTATACCAAAGATCTAAGCTCTAGATATAACACGAATAACAATAGATCCTTCATAATTAAATTATCTATCGCAAGGAATACAGTATTACGAATTCAGTACTCTTCAGTACATTTGATTGCCTATAACATACAAGCAACAGTTACTTACTTGCTTACTTACGCCTGTTACTCCTCGTGAAGGAGCATAGGCCACTCACCAGCATTCTCCATCCATTCTCCATCTTTTCTAGCTCCGTCCAGTTGTAATTTATCGTTTTCATATCTGCTTCTATTATCCGACGCAAATGTGTTCTTTGGCCTTCCTCTTTTTCGCTTCCCTTCAGGATTCCAAGTTAGGGCTTGCCTCGTGATGCACTAAAAAATAGATGAATTGTGGTTAGAAACTGAATTCAAGACACACGTTTCATCTTATATGAGACTCGATAGCTAGATACACTTCCATCTCAATGTTGACGTTCACATGGAAATTTGAAATTTATCCGATGTACTATCCACTGTGTTGATGAGTCTAAGTATTCACTGATATATTGAACAGGTATGATATTTGTACCTCGGTGTGGTCATCTACACTGAGATTCATGTGTATCTAAATAATGAGTGAGAAATGGGACGTAACGCTTATCCTAGATTCCAATGTATTATATCCCAGTGAAGAATAAACTAAGGATAACTTCTATGAACTATTAATGGATGAATATTCTATATATATTCCTATTATATAACTATTCAGTAATTAGATTATACATATCTATATTCCTCTTATTATAAGCTTCATTATGATGCGATTTACTATTCTTAAGTCATGTGCTGTTTATTGATTATGGTCTCCCACATGTACAGTCACTTTTTGGTTTGATCTTGCACAAATGTTGATTCCTATTTTATGGTATGATATGGTCTGTTTGATTGATATATAAACAAGGAATGTTTGAAACAAGTGATTCGTATATTAGAAACCTGTATTGGTGTTCTGAACTTAACTGATAGGTCTGGGAGAACAAAGTACCGATAAAGACGCAAGGCTGCTCATACAGGTAGAACGTCATTGGTTTAGCACAGTACCAAGATGGAATAAGTGGTATTTCGTTTGGTGAATAAATGACAAGATGATTAACCAGGCCTAGAATTACAACGCAACCTTAGTCAGAATTAATCTATTTTATAATGCTTGTGAGAACAATTTGCTCATGTTAATGTAATCCTCATAGGATAAACATTTATCAACAGCTATTTAATTGGTCTTCCCGGTCTCTCACACTGTCTGGACATTCCATGTACCTATAAAAATTGTTACTCTGGTTGTTAGAAAGAGCATCGGTCTCGTAACTTTCGGAGAATTTCGACTTTCATCCTGAGGCGGCATAATTCTTCTTTCAATTCCAAGGGCAGAGTTTAAATGGTATAATTTGTTTAGTCTGATTGGGGCTTTTTAATAAGATTTTTTCTACGGGATGGGGTTGCCGACCTCATGCTTAATCCTCCTCATTCATGCGGGCTAATAACCTGCAGTAACTTTACAAGGACTACAGGTGGAGTTATTTATCAACAAAGATTGATCGAAATTCAATCATAAATATCATCAGTGGAAAGATTCAGTTAAATGTAGCTTTTTCTTCATCGTTCATGTATGACAACGTAAGTATGCATTGAACTGAAGTGTATCAACATGTTTATTTACTGATGTATGCTACTTTAAAAAATGGATTTAAGTCTTACCTAATAGCATAAGTTAGTTTGAGTTGATGGACAATCTGTCAATCTTCATCAGAGCTATAATATGTTCATATGGTAACGCTTTGGATTCTACAAAAAGGAAACGGGAATACATCTTGCCTTTTAAATGAATCATTTTTTCTTCTTCTTAATTGTTATCAAACTATATCACTCAGAGAAAAACTGATTATCAACAAAGATAATCATACTGCTTTCTTCCTAAAAGTTTATCCAAGAAAAATAAATTCAGTGGTTTAAAGGTTATGCGTTCACGAACGAGACCGAAGGTCCTGGATATGAGTCATACGCACATAGTGACGCGATTTCTTGGATTGTTTGAAGTTAGACAATAACACCACTGAATGTCAACTCAATGGTCTAGGGGTTCTGGGTTCGAATCCCGCGAGCGGGAATGGGGATGGTCGATGCTGAGTAGTCCGATGCTAAGACGAAACGGTCATCCATTGCTTTCAGGTTTTCCAATGGTTATCTAACTTTCATGGACTCATACTTTCAACTATAAAAGTAAACTCATTGTCTATGAATTCATTAAACCCATAAATAAATGGTATACTTTAAAGTAGATAAAGCGACAAAAAGTCAGTGTAACTTCATTAGTTAAAAAGAAAAGTTAATTGAATTAGGTTATGTCAATATTTGCGTATAAATGGATAAATATTTACCAATCTAACAATGAAGTTGACATGATCTAACATATTTATGTTACTACTATCATTACTACTATTTAAAACGTTAGTAGTAGTATTAAACATTCAAAATAATTTTAACCGTTGATTGTACATGTATGAAATTTATTTCTCATTCTTCTTTAGAGGAAGCATATATCTCTTTCGAAAAGAGCATTATCATTGAATTTAAAGACGAAATTCGAAACATTTTCTACATGTGAAACGAAAGGTTGGAGATGTGGATTACAATTCAATATGAATTTCAGTAAATTCATAAGCCGACCAATGTTTGAGAACCAATGTAAACCTGGAAACACTGGACGGCGATTATGTTTCAATATGGGACTTCTTAGCAATCAGTATTCAAGACTCTGCACCCAGGATTTGGATCCAGGACCTTCATTCTTGCGTACTAGCACCTAACCTCTGGATCACTGACTCAGTATTAATGTCGGTATTAATGTCTAACCTCAATCAATCCACGGTAACGCACAACTGTGTCGGATGTAAGGCACCAAAGACAACAGGAGATGGCAATGCAACATTATGGATTGAATGAAATTAATCATGTCCACAAATACCTTGATATAGATGAGCATGGGAAGAGTTAGCTCTCCATTTCACATGATCATCCACTCCAAGGGAAGTCCTACTCATTGCTTTCTCGCACCTGGGGTGTTGTTTACGAGGTTGAGAGGACGAAAAGCGAATGTTTGGCAGAGGCTTTAGCCCGATTGATAGACACGGAGGGTTTTTCTAGGAGAGTTGAAAAAACCTGCTTCTAAACCAATGATGCACATTGGCTCCAGGATCCTAAAGAAACAAATGACGTATGAACCAATTATTGATCACCGGCTACCATCGGTCTGCGTCCCCAAAAGTTGCTCCTTTGGCCTGTGGATCAGACGTTTAGGTCAAAGGCTTCAGGTGTAGCCTCCTGAGAAAACCATCTGCTTTGTTCTGAGCATCCAGGCAGTATTACAGCACACACAACTCAAGTGACTTGTGTGGTGAATACGTATCCAGTTCCCCTTTGTACCAATATTTATGTGTTCAAATAAATAAGTAAATAAATAAATAGTAAGCATTAACATCGTTAGATAGCGGCTCGGTGATCTAGAGGTTAAGCGTTCGTGAGTGAAACCGAAGGTCCTGGGTTCGATTCCCACGCACAGTCACCGATGCCCACTGCCGAGGAGTTCCATATGAGGAGAGAATATCCATTCAGAGCTTGCAGGTCCTCAATAATGTTTAAACATTGTCCAGTTCCTAAATTCAATGGAAATGTACAATCTCCATATCTATATACTCACAACGATTATGAAATTTTTAAATTGATAGTTGATAACAATCTTGAATATTATACAATCATTTATTTTACGATATGATAACCCGAAATTGAAATGACCAGTTAGATATAACAACGAGACTATGATTTATGAACAAGCTAATTAGAAGCGTTTGAGGGATTTCAAGGTTACGGCGCTAATTTCAGTACATGATTCTCACGTACGATCGGTTCACAGCGAATTTGAGAGAAAACATGATAATTGAGCGGCTACAACAAATGAGACTATTAAGAAGTTCCTTTATTTGTAATTGTTGTAATCAAATGACTTATGGACCTTGTGCAGATTAACGTGATGATGTAGTCTTTCGATACAATAGATGTTGGAGGGAGAAGTATGCTAGAATAGGAACGTTTTTTCTTTTGATCCAGATTGAGAATAAAGCAAATTGCAATAACATTAGCTGTAACATTTGCAGATTTTACTAAAGCTTCAGCTGTTAAGTGGTATGTGTATTGTAGAGATACATACGTAATAAAAATGACAAACTTACATAACCATAGTGTACACAAAATGTAGTGAAGATATGTGGTCGAAGCTGGGAGTTTTTACAACCTTATCATGATTCCAGAGGCCGACTATTCTGCAGCCTTATAGATGATTTCCTCTATCGTATGTATTACAGTTGCAGAATCTCTGAACCTCTTTCTAACTATGATAAGTTTTTGAATCATACATAAATGATCATCAGCGAGACTCTCATCTATGGACGTCCTTTGAACGGATCTCAAGTGACCTTGTGAAATATTAGCCAATCAGCACACAGTCAGTATAGAGTAAAACTATGTTATACAAGACCAAGGAAATAAACTGGATACACTTCTTATACGTGATTCAAAAACTTGTCAAAGTTAGAAAGAGGTTCAGAGGTTCTAAAATCGTAATGCATGCAGTAGAGGAAATCATCTATATGGCTACAGAATAGTCGGCCTCTGGAGTCATGTTAAAGTCTCAAATACTCTTTCAGCCTCGATCACATAGCTTCAATATTGTTTATGTGCACTCCGATTGTTGAGTGCACAAAATGCTACTTGTGGATGCACATAACAAAGCCTATGTAGGAGTCTGTACGCTTTCCAAACATCCGTATATATTGTAGTGCCTGGCTGCAGCCAGTGTTAGTGGTGCTTTTATTATCCAGTTCGCAATAATTGTCGTAACGTGCCTTAGTTAGGAATTATATACAGGGTTTTCATCATGAACTGACATCAGCTATAATGCCAAAACTCTATTTAGCCAAATGGATGAAAGGGTTTCGCGTTAAAATCCAAGATCTATTATCTTGTACCTCATTGATTCATCCAAAAATTATAGTCTCGCCATTTTATTTGTATTAAATTCCCAATGAACCAATCGTACATTAGCATGAATCACTGAAGTTGGCGCCATAACCTTTTGAAATCTCTCAAACGCTTCTGATTGACTTGTCATTGATTCCATTCTGTACTATTCTATTTTGTTTTATTTTATTCACTTCTAGATATGTTGGCTATTTTTCTGGTTTATTAACTGGTGCATTAATTTTACAAGATCGTTTAGTTTATTTACATACAATTGTATATCGTGATTCATCAAGAGGACGTTATCTTGGACAATCATTAGATGCAATAATAGAAAATAATGAAAATTCATTATATGCAAAACCAGATGAAATTATCACTAATCAATTACAATCAATTAATCATAAACATAATGATCAAAATGATCAATACATTATCAATCAAAATGATTTATTGATTAATAATGATCATTTAAATGAAATCGATAATGATCACAAGGATAATGATGATAATGATGATATTGATCATATTAAAAGATGGGATCAAATATTTTCTAGTCCAATTGATTTATTGAAAACAACAATGATTACACAACAACAACAACATCACCACCCCCAACAACAGCAACATCACCACCCCCAACAACAACAACAAGAACAACACCACCACCACCATCAACAAACTGATCAAACGACCTTTAATGAATTACCATCATTGAAACAGTTTCAAACTTTTGTTGATAAGGAATGTGGTCTTTTTTTAAAAATTTATCAAAATTTAAATTTAATGCATACTACAAGAGTTCTGTAAGTTTTTCTATAATAAAACTCTTTCTGAATATTAATCAGTTTATATACACATGAGTGACTCAGTTTCAAGAGGTATTTTTCTTGGAGTTCTAATGAGAAAAATAGTGACCGTTGGAGTTCAACCAGATCTGTTGTGAGATAGTAACTCACTATTATGTCCCTTGGTCTGTCTACTCACTTTTGGTGCTAAGGATTAATGATCTAATCCAGATTAAGACCTTGGTGCGATAAGCTGACCGGCTTAACTTTGAGGCTAGTACGCGTGAGTTCGAAATGGGGTAGAGAGAGAAGAAAACTATTCTATCACCTGATTGGCTGACAAACACGTGAATAAGAGAGAAGATAAGACAACTGGAACACAACTCGATCTATTCCCGATATCCTGATTTTCAGATTAATATAAAAAAGTACATGAATAAATAGGTGACTAACCCGACCACAACGTACAATAATTAGGAAAGATTTTTTTGGTTGAGATCATGAATTAATTGAAGTTAGACCACCGTTGGAAACCTGGAAACACTGGACGGCCGTTTCGCCCCAGTATGGGACTCCTCAGCAGTGCGCATCCACGACCCCGCACCCCGCGGGATTCGAACCCAGGACCTACTGGTTTCGCGCCTGAGCACTTAACCATTAGACAACTGAGCTGGTCGACATCCAGCGGTGCTAATGTTTAACCTCAACCAATCCACGAAATTGCGCGACCAACTTCCATTGTACTGAGGTAGATACCTGTCTCTACCCTACACGATTAGGAAAGATACAATTATGTCCAAAGCCGGGAATTAGCGTAGAAAATAGGATGCCAAATATTATGTTTAAATTACAATAGCTTCGGAACAGAGAAGGGGTATGGTAATGAATCATACATCGAACGAAAGCTCATGTCCTGTATAATAGATTAGGGACAAAAATAAATGTTAATGTTTAAGAAGATTTGAATTAACTGAAGTAACGTCCCGAAAAATAGCTTTCGTAGTTTGTCAGGGCTTCTTGTTTCCCTGTGCACATTACTCACTGAAGACAATGGTTGACGTGTCGGCTCAATTGTCTAATGGTTAAGCGTTCGCACGTGAGACTGATAGGTTTTGGGTTAGAATCTCGCTAGGAGAGATCGTGGATATGCACTGCTGAAGAGTTCTGCAATAGGAAGAAACGGCCGTACAGGGCTTCCAGAATTTCTATGGTAATCTAGCTTCAATTGACTCATGATCTCAACTATTAAAATTGGTAACCGTGTTTGTTTGTTCATCTATCACTTTACTATTTAAAATATTTCATGATATGAAATATGCTTACATCGTATATTTTGAATACTGATCGGATATTTAGTCGTCAAGGTGATGGCGAAGATTTGCAAATCAAATGGATGATTCTGGTGGAGTTTTGTTCTTTGAGATGTACGGTTTGGTCATGGAGCTTTCATTGTTATTCTGAACGACATCATCAGCATAAACGTTTACCTGAAGTGTTTGTGCTGATGATATCGTTCAGAATAACAATGAAAGCTCCGCGACTAAGCTGTTCAACTCAGAGAGCACTACTTGTCAAGGTATTTACACGACAAAACTAATAAAGTTCAATGAAACGAAATGGTAAAATGACGATTGAAATGTATGAGAGTTGATATAACGTTTAAAATGGATAAACTATTATTGTAGTGAACGAGAACATACAAGTAGGGACAATCGAATGCATGTGAACACAAAATTACAGAATCTCTTACTGGGATCTGAGAACCATACAGTGAATTCTTCATTTACGAAATGTCAATCAATTGTGTCAGACACCAATCATTCACTGTTCTCATTCTCTTTTCTTTGGTCTTCTTAACCTTCCAACACCAGGCATTTCTTTTTCGATTGATAAAACATACTACTTATATCTGGCGACATCAGTAAGACACACCACATTATCACGTTAGATTCAAGGTTAAAAGAACCTTAATGACCTAGCCTTTTACGAGACGAAAATTTCGTGGTTGACACTATTCACAAAGCTTTAAATATTTTTGTATGATCATTCTTATATCCTTTCTCAATTATATGTTACTCTTCCATGGTGTATGATTTCCTTGTACATGTGTTTGCCACATCGTTCGATGCTGACTGTTCCGCAACCGTCCAACTGAATGGTTCGACGACTCCTTCCCGCATATTTATATCCATACTGACGTAAATTGATAAAGGGCCTTCATCTGTGTTTATATATAAATGCTTTGACAGCTAGACATGTGACCGGACTATTCGAAATGTATTGCAAAAATACACCACATTGTTGGAATCACATTCGTTAAAAATACATAGTAATATAAACAATAATGGATAGTGGCTAGCAGTGGAATCCAAGACGCGCGTTTCATCCTATTTGGGACTCATCAGCTGGATATACCTGGATCTTAGTCTTGTTGATGTTCACTCTGAGACTCGGACCCAGTACCGTTTGCTTCAAACTCCATCGAGTTATCCAATTAGCTATTGATACCTGGCAAATGATTGCTTGTGTACTGGGGTGAAGTTTAAATTCACTTCGTATTGTTTACTTAAATCTTCCCACTGATGTTTAGAACTGCAGTTGATCAGTCTTTTATTAGTAAATATACATAATGTGCGTATCGCCTCGATACTGCCTTAAGTTACAAGCATTCTAAGCAGAAGGTTGAGAAGGAAAGAACTGGAACCTAAAGCAATTGATTTGAAAATGTAGGAACAAACAAGTCTGAGACAATTAACTGACGTCTTGCAAATGAAGTATTTACTGTATGATTCTCAGATACTTACTAAGAGATTCTATAATTTTGTATTCAGATGCATTCGATTGTCCCCACTTATGTATTCATGTTCACTACATTCCAACTTAATGTGAATGTTCATAGAAAATATATATCGATAAACGAATCTCTCATTTCTCGATCCTCTAGTAGAGCACCATGTAAACATATTGGACTACAAGTATATAGAACAGAATATGAAAGCTCAACTTCAAGTTGCGCTACATCCAACTGACGAGCTTTTTTTCATTGAACAAAAGGAAACATGTGACTGGTTTACTTATAAGGAGTTCTATATCATAGCGAAATAGGTTTCTGTACAATCTCAGTTTTGACAACTGGTTGAATAGTCAGTTAGTGACATGAACAAGAAATTATTGTCAGACGGGGTTTTGTGGAGATTGTAGTAATTTCAACAGTTGAGATCATAAGTCGATTGAAGCTAGACCACCATGGAAAACCTGGAAGCACTGGACGGCCGTCTCGTCCTATTGTGGGACTCCTTAGCAATGGGCATCCACCACCCCGCCTCGCAGGATCCCAACCCAGGGTCTAGTCGTCTCGTGCCAAGCCCCTAACCAATTACACCACTGAGCCGGCATCCAACGGTGTTAATGTCTAACTTCGACTAATCCACGAAATTGAGCGACACATCCAGCATTGTCATCAGTGAGTTACTATCTCACAATTGACCCAGTTGAACTCCACTGGTCACAATTTCTCACTAGAACTCCAAGATATACCTCTTGAAGCCAGTCACTAATGAGTATATTGATTTATTGATTTATTCACTTTTATTTCGATCATGATCTGTAAATTCTCATGAAGTTTTGTAACTTAAGTGATAATCGGGACAACACAACACTAGTTACTACACAGTAATCATTTAGTGCGAAAATACTTGTTTTGCATGAAATCACTGGTGATCCATATGGCTGATCGGTAACATCTAAGACCGTGATTCTGGATGTCATTGACCTGAATATCATCCTTGATAACAAGTCCCAGCTCGTATGAAATCCAAGTCCATAGTTTTCAACTGGCTACCTCCAATCAACTTACATCCAAAAGATGGTCTAAGTTGTGTGACTGTAGAAGGAAAATGAGACTACTTGTACATGAAATGTTTTGGATCATTTTGCTATATAATTGATTATGCGGATATTTACAAGTTTATTTTTGCTGTCATACCGTCCCCTATTTCCAAATATTGTTTAGATGCCCAAATGTGAATTTTCGAGTGGAACGATATATTTTTCCAATTGAACCAGTGTTACCATTGCATGGTGATGTTTTAATCGCTTGTTACATACAACCAAACTTTTCAACACAACTTCAAGAATGTTTATTTCGGTGAGTTGATTATTTGTTTTCTTTGTTTTTATCCCATTTGTTCAACTAAAGTTTCATCCTTATAAATTCCTTGTTTTTGATTGAAATCATGAGTCAATTGTAGCTAGACCACCATGGAAAACCTGGGAGCACTGGATGGCCGTTCCGTCCTATTGTGGGACTCCTCAGCAGTGCGCATCCACGATCGCACACCCCGGGATTTCAATCAAAAACTTAACTATTTCCACAACATCTAAACCGATAATTACCATGTGCTCTCTGGTGACTAGCTTCGTAAGAAAATTCTCGAAGTTCTGGTGAGAAGCCTTGACCAGTGAAGCTAATCTGCGCCGGGTAGAAACAAGTGTCTACCTCAATACAACGAAAGATGGACGCTGGCTCAGTTGTCTAGTTGGTTAAGCGCTTGGCGCGGAACTGATAGGTCGCGGGTTCGAATCTCGCGGGGTGCGGGATCGTGGATGCGCACTGCTGAGGAGTCCCATACCAGGACGAAACGGCCATCCAGTGCTTCCAGGTTTTCCATGGTGGTCTAGCTTCAAATGACTCATGATTTCAATCAAAAAATCAACAATCTCCACAACACTTATGCTGAATTCCTTGTGCTATTCGTCTACCATAGAAATTTAGTCTCAGATTATCTAACGATCACATTCAAGATATTCTGCCAGTTGTATATTCATTTAATCATAAATGGTGTATGAAATCAAATAAATTTACATCAGTGCATCTATCTTACTCCCGTATGTGTATGTGTACTATGTTCTCTAAATTTCTTCTAAAGTATTTCATAATTCCCTTGATATTGTTTTACTTGTATCTTCCCATTGTTTTTTAGGACTGCAATTGATCAGTCTCATGTTGGCATATGTGCATCTTGTGCGGATTGCCTCCATATTGCCTTAATTCACAAGCATTATAAGCAAAGATAGATAGTGGCTAACAGTAGAATCCAGAACGCGCGTTTCGTCCTATTTGGTACTCGTCAGTTGGATATACCTGAATCACAGAGATGATGTCCACTTTGGGATGCAGGTACATCCAGGTGATATGTATTTTGTATGATCAGTGGAATAATTCATTTAAAGATGATGGAGGAAAAACAGTAAACGTAAAAAGATTGTAATGAGTCATACTATGGTCATACACAAACCATTGGTTGCTTATCTTATCTACTTCAAGATAACAAAATTACCGAAATAAAAGCCAGTTCAAATAGGTTTTTCAGACTTTTGGTGAAATTCCATATGTAACGTCCTAATGTATTTATACTACTATAACTTAATAAAGTAGTAAAAATCAATATTCAAAAAAGATGCGACCTAATACAGTGGTCTTCGGAGTGTCCGAAACGTATGACATATGATTCCTCTCCGATTCACCTTTACTATTTATTAGATTTCGACTGTGGATTCTGGAATTATGATTTACAGCCCGTCAATTATCACATGACAAGATGGCTAATCAAAACACTGATTTGTACGACTTTGGCACTGTGCCAAGTCAATAAATATCTGGACCCTGCACAAGCAGCCAAGAGTCAACTCTAAGTCCTTAATGGTTCTTCTTGCCTTGCCTTACTCATTGATTTCAGAACACGATCTCAGCTTCCACTGTATGAACCTTATATTTCAAACATACGCAGTTACAAGCAAACCAGACCACATTACACAAACAAATAGAAAACAACAATTATACAAGATCAGGCCAAAAGTGGTTCTGAGTGTAGGAGACTATAACTGATAGCTTGGGAATAACTTATAAATAGTATTGTATGATAATAGACCAAGATAAACTTAAAGCTGACAAGAAGAGAAATATAAATATATATAATCTAGTTACTCAAGAGTAATATATGTAGTTACACAATAATTATACAGTAAGAATACATATAGTAACAATTCATGACTAACTCCTAGAAGTTACCATTCATTTATTCTTAGTTAGCATATAACAGTACCAACCGCTGGGGATGTCTATTTTCCAATCCCTCATAAGTGAGCTAAAAACAGTTAGTTTTTCCATTGCAAATCTGCTATATTCCAAGTTGGCACTTGCCTCGTGATGTAGTTTGATGATTCCCTCATTGTGTGTCCTATCCATTCTCCTAGTTTCTTCTCCAAGTGGAAGCTGTTTTTTTGCTAATGGTATTTGGTCAATGGACACTGGGTATCCTTTTTAGACAATTGTTTAGAAATGCTTATACTTCTTTGATGATGGTTGTAGTAGTTCTGAAAGTTTCAGCTCCGTACAGTTTAACGAACTGTCGTGACGTTCATATTTAAGATTCTCATTTTGATATTGGTTGTCAAACAGTTGTTTTGAGTTCCATATTTTCTTCAACTGTAAGTATTTTATCCTTGCTTTATCAATCTTTACCCCTAAATTTGTATACGACCCCTCCATATGCGTAAAACTTTCCACCGCTTTCAAAGCTTCTCTAATAAGTGTGATTGATTCGGTGCTCCCTACGTTCTATTTGACAGTGTTGCTTTTTCACTTGTGTATGTCGAGACCTGCTGATCCGGAGACTGCTGTTACAGTGACTGCCTCCACCGGCATTTGTTTTTTGTATGAGATATAAGAGACGGTCATCTGCGAAGTCAAAATCGTCTAGTTGCATTCAATTGTTCATTGAATTCCATGCTTCCCATCAGATATTGAGTTCTTCATAACCTAGTCAACCAACAGCACAAAGAGAAAGTGGGAGTTTAAGCAGCTTTGTCTGACTTCGGTCGTCACATGGAATGCGTCTGACAATTGTCTACCATACGCGACTTTGTAGTGTAGTCGGTCGTGTGAATCCTGAATGATATTGACGATTTTCTCTGCTAATAAGAGACTGGTCGACTGCAGTCCTAAACATCAATGGGATGCTTTGCGTAAACAATACCAAGTGAATTTCAACTTCACACTATTGTACAAGCAATCGGTTATCATGACTCAGTAGCTACGTGTTGAAGCGAAGTGATTGTAGTGAACGGTGTTGGATTCGAGTCCCGACGTGAACATCAACTCTGGGATTCAGGTACATATAGCTGACGAGTCCCTAATAGGACGAAACATGTGTCCCACACTCGAGTGCTAGTCACCATTCATCTTTGTTTATAATGCTTGTGACTTCAGGCAATATCGAGGCAGTCTGCATAGGACACACATATGCCAACAATAGACTGATCAATTGAAGTCCTAAATAACCATTAAAACAAGGCATTGTTCCATGTCAATCATTAACGTTTGTTTTTCATTTTACAGAGCTCAATTTCATACATGTGCAGTGGATGCTGAAAAACTATCCTTTTTCAAAGTTGATTTAGACGAGGCATGTGAGAGTAAGTTGGAATTTATTTTCCTGCAATTCAATTATTATTTATATCATGATGAAAGTTTGTCATTCCAAACTTTAGCGACTTGTGAATGTCATTAATGTTTGAGATTCGATGACGTTTGAAGTGTACAGTACTGGGTTGGAGTTCAGGAGTAAACATTAACACTGGAATACAGATACATCAATAAGTCAATAAGTCCCAAATAAGATGAAATATGCTTCCTGGATTCTAATGTTAACCACCATCTACTTTTGTTAGATACAGTTTAGATGGAAACTTGTAGTGTAATATAGGCAGCATGCTTTTCCGTCTACAGAAAACTCGCTAACTTAGTATCTAACCACTCTTCTCGTGATGTTTTAATCAAAGGGTAGAACCCGGTATATTTTGTTTGGGATTTAGAATTTTATTGACTAAGCTGCTGAGCTACATCGGAAGTCAACATGTTAAACGGATAGAATTGTTCCTTAGATGAAGTGGATTTGTGGAGATAATTATCATTTGTAGGTATCACACATCATCGATTGACAACATTTACGGTATTATTAAAATCCAAAAAGTACTGAACAAGTGCTTTGAAGTATAGTCCTCCTCATGAGTGACCATCTATCACCCATTTGTAAATTGGAAGCAGACCTTCAAGACACTAGTAAACTTCAACTATACCTTGGATGGAATAGTCTTCTCTAATGATATCGAATAATCCTTGTACTTCATCATTAATCGATGGAATTTGAAAATATACATCACTAGATGTCATCTCAGTATTGTAGTGGTTGAAAAGTGAAGGTCTTTGGTGTCTAGTATAGTGAATACTCTAAATATATTCTACTCAAACACAAGCATCAATAGTTTCAGCTAGTCACATCAATAATATTTGTGTTAAATCTGAGATACTTTCCAGAAACTTAATTTATTGTAGCTATTTCTCTTATAGAATTATTACCTTTAAACCTAATCCATATGACAGTATAACAATGTCAGGAGACCTAATCCTATAGAACTCATTCACCAAAGTAAATTTGTACATCGTTCATTTATACAGGACCTTAAGGTTCATATGCCTCATTGGTTATGATCAATAAGCTCTAACTTCTACTATTAGATCCTTCACACCGTAAAATCCCACTTATCTTCGGTAGCCCAAAATTTTACTTTCTCAATCAATACGAATTACCAGAAACTAGATTATCTACTACTGTTAGTAGTATAGAAAAATTCATGAAAAAAAAGAGGAGAAAAAATGGACTATTACCAAGTCTCTGTCGTACTAGCCTAGTGCATGAGAACACAATTGGGGGCAATCGATTGTATTTGAACACGAAATTACACAATATCTCACTAAAATCTATGAACCATAACAGTAAATACTTAGTTTGCAAAATATCAATCCATTGTCTCGAACTTGACTGTTCCTTTTGCAAATATTAGTCCATCATCTGAGATTTCATTGTTCCTGCATTTTCATACCAATTACTTTCTGTTCTTGTTCTTTCCTTCTTGATCTTCTATTGAAATACATTCTATTTTTGATCATCGTTATATACTACTTATTTGAATATAAGTAGCTCACACACATACTAGTAGTATATACGTGATGTCTAATAAATTTTAACGAATTCTCTTCTTTTAATGTCTAATTTAAAAAAGAGAGCACATGACTTGAAAGAGAAAAAATGATCGCAGTCAGCCAAAAAAAATTTTTTTAGTTTTTATTTCCATTTTTTTCTCTGAAAAAAAAAACAAAAAAAAACATTCGTCGTTTCATGAAAATTAAACAAACAATAAATTTTTGTTACTATGATGATAAATATGAAGAAACTATATTGAATCACATTACTTCCTGAAAAGGAGAAATCAATTAATTCTTATGAATCTGTCATTTTGTCCATACCTACTTTGTTACTTACTCATACTTGTTACATAAGCTGCTGACTACCACTCTCGAACCCACTTTGTCCTCAGCCTACATTTCTAGTTCTATCCAATTGTTGTTTATTCTTCTCATGTCTGTCGCCATTTCTCGACGTGATATGTTCTTTGATCTTCCTCTTTTCCTTTGAGCTTGAGGATTCTATGTAAGGGCTTGCCTTGTGATGCAGTTGAATACTTTCCTCAAAGAATGTCCTATCCACTTACAGCACTTCTTCCTCATTTCTTCCTCCACTAGGATCTGGTTTGTTCTCTCCCATAGTAGGTTGTTGTTGATAGTGTTTGGCCAACCGATTTGAAGTATTTTTTGTAGATAGCTGTTAATAGACACTTGTATCTTCTGGATGATGGCTTTCGTAGTTCACCACGTTTCCGCCCCATACAATATTACTGTCTTGATATTTGTATTGGAAATCTCGAATTTGGTGTTGCCTGACATTTGTTTTTAGTTCCAGATGTTCTCCATTTGTAGATGTACTGCTCTTGATTTGCCAATCCGCGCCTTAATATTTTTTTCATATATATATTGTCTGAATAAAAATTATATATGAGTATGGGATTGAAGAGGTTTTTAAGTTTTTTGATTGAGATCATGAATCGGTTGATGTTAGAAGCACTGGATGGCCGTTTCGTCCTAGTAGGGTACTTCTCAGTAAACCGTGCTCACTCATGTTTCTACAGTTGAGATTTAAACCCATAAACATCGGTCTCGTGCACGAACGCTTAACCTTAGTGTTTAACTTCCATCGATTCATGAATGGTTGAGCAACCATTTATTCATTGTCTGAGGTAGATACTTGTCTCTACCTGATATGGATTAAACTCCACCGATCACGGTTTCTCACTAGAACTACAGGAAATCACCTTGGGGGAAGTCATTAGTGAGTTTCCAGCATTTCAGTGGTGGTCTAGTATCAATCGATTCATGAATAAAAATACACATTATTTCAGATTGAATGCAATTGGGAAAATGTTCTGATGTTTTTGTGTACGTGTTTGCTGTGTGTGATTATAAATTCACCAACAAATAATCGACGCTTATTATAGACAAATTAAGATCGAATGACCCATTCAATATATCTAATGAAGCATTAATTACGAGTAGAGATGGATGGTGGCTAGCTGTGGAATCTAGTTCGCGCGTTCCATCCTATCAAAGACTCGTCATCTAAATGTATCTACATTCCAGAGGTGATGTTCACTCCGTGATTAGAACTCTCTATTGATCGCTGTGAATACCATCGTGTTATCTTGTTAGCTACCGAGTTAAGATAATCACTAGCTTGTGAAATGGAGTAAAGTTTGATTCTGTTTTGTATTGGCTGTTTGAATCTTTCTATTGACGTTTAGAATGGTAATTGATCAGTCTCTTATGTATATACATCCTGTGTGGATTGCTTTCATATCGCTCTAAGTCACTAGCATTTTCAGCGATTGAAGCTAAAGGTACTGGGTTCGAGTCCTGGAGTGTATATCAACCCGGAGATTCAGGTTCATACACCTGATTTATCCCAAGTCGGACAAAGCTCACGTTCTAGATTCCACTGCTAGTCACCATTCACTTCCGCTTATAATGCTTATGACTTAAAGCCACATCGAGGTAATCCGCACAGGATGCTCATATGCCAAGAAAGAGAATGGTCAATCGCAGTCCTAAATGTAAATGTGAAGTTTAAAACAACCAATACAAAAATGAATAAAATATTAGTCACGTTAATAAATGGAGACGGAGTTAGCTTTCACTTCACCAATTAAGAATGAAGAGTAAACATGTAGCAATAAAATATTGAGTAAAGTTTGATATTGGTGAACAATTAAATCCAAGACTCACATTTCGACCCATTTGGGACTCGTCACTTGGATGTGTCTGTCTCATAGGGTCAGGATTAACTCCGGGATTAGAACCAAATCACTTTCGCTTAAACTGCCAACGCACTATTCTCGTACCTATTGAGTTCAGATGGCTACTGTGTTTTATAACGGGGGTGAATAATAATTTATTTGTACATGTTTAAGTCTTCCCAATGTCAGTGTTTAGGATCGCGACTGATCAATCTCTTTTTGGTATACGTAAATTCGGAGCAGATCGGCTTGACATTCCTATTAGGTCGCAAATATTTGAACATAAATGTACCTGGTTCAAGTTCATGCTGATAATTCTCAAGAAGGCAAAATCCTGAGTCTTGCGTTACACTGCTAGCCACTATCAAACTCTGTTTAAAAGTGCTTGTTACTGATAACAGTGCGGAAGCAATCTTCTCAGGATTCCAATAAGTACACTGAACTTCATTCATTGATTATAAGTTACCACACTAAAAAGAATTTAACAAGCTTATGGATATCGAAACAACATGACAAAATAGAGTCCCTCATGATGACTATCAGAGTTACTTAAAAAGATTCTGTTCACCAGTCATTAACTTTGTAAAGAGATCCCTATTTTTAATTTACAGACCCTTAGTCCTTATCAAATCTATATCTGTACTAGTGTCAATAAAGTTTGGCAATGATAGGACCTGCATAATGTTTATGCCATCCACTATAGTCTCATCAAATGTAACCTTTGTCTAAACTCAGATTACTAGTATAGGGGTTGTGGAGATTATTAAGTTTTTGATTGAGATCTTGAACAAATTGATGTTAGACCATCACAATTGAAAACCTGGAAGCACTGGACGGCCGTTTCGTCCTATTGTGGGACTCCTCAGCAGTGCGCATCCACGATCCCGCGAGCGGGATTCGAACCCAGGGCCTTCGGTCTCGGATTGGTTGATGTTAGAAACTATCACCATTGGATGCCGACTCAGTGGTCCAGTTGGTTAAGCGTTCGCGCGCGAGACCGAAGGCCCTGGGTTCGAATCCCGCTCGCGGGATCGTGGATGCGCACTGCTGAGGAGTCCCACAATAGGACGAAACGGCCGTCCAGTGCTTCCAGGTTTTCAATTGTGATGGTCTAACATCAATTGGTTCAAGATCTCAATCATAAACTCAGATTCACGAACACTGATTTGAAGACATTGATTTGACGAAATGTTTGAGTAGATACAACAAACTTACCTAAATCTTCAGTCATCAAAAGGCATGATTTACATCTGTACAGAACTGTTTAGTTGCATATCCATCGTTAGAGATGTAAAAAGGACATTTTTTTCATGTATCATTTGTGGTACATGCTAACGAATGTTAGAAGTAATTTGTAATAACAATGAACTGAATTAATTAGTCAGTTTAAAAAATCTTTTGGCAAGCAATGAAATGCTAATGAGACATTTGGAATATAAAAAGTCTTTACTTTATAAAGTTTCAAGTTTGTAGCCTACTAATCATGTTAGCATTCAACTTATCATAACCACTTTGAGTTACTGAAATGCGTTCTCTTATCATGCCTCTTCCCTGTGATGAATACGTTTGATGAGGTATTGAGAACCACTTTTAAGTTAATCATTTTGGACGCAGACAGAGATTATGTGAGTAGGAAACCAAAGTATTATAAAGGATAATCCATTCTGTTCAACAGATCAATTGCTACTTGGATTCAGTAGTTTAATGGACATTTGATTCAAGTCTCAGTGTGAACATAAACACTGAGATTTAGGTACATCCAGGTAATACCTGGGGGAAAGGATGAAACAAACTTCTAATATTCAACTTTCACCTCCAATTCAAATATCATTGAGCACAGGTAAAATGGTGGTTGGAGACAGACAACAGGAAACCCTGGATCTAAGTTTAGTGCTACTTGGCACTCGTCAGCGACCAATCATCATCTTATCTCAACATAATGCACGAAATGTCGAGTCACTTAGACTAGTGACCACATTGCAGTTTAGTCTATAGGATTCGATTTGAACTAAGAAGGACCTAACACACATGGCCATTTCTAATTATATTCAACCATCTGACATATCGTAGTGCTGCACACAAAGTCCAGCTACTTAGACTTCCATCTATACCTTAAAAATCTAAACAAACATGATACTGATCACAGTTCAGTGATCAATCAATTGTAATACATTCGAAAAAGACCTTCAGAATTCTACTTGTCCAATCATCTATTAAGTAATGAATCAGTATGAACAATCACTTTTCCACTCACTTGATCAATCGTGAAGACTACACATAGTCACATAGCGTATCACCATCATCATCATAGCACTTCTGGAACAATCAAGTATTACACATCCTGTAAGATACAATAACTTATGGATGAACTTTGAAAGACACTAAAGTGACCTCGTGAAACTTAAACTACTTACTAGTTCAAGGTTATAAATTAATGTAAGGAATCAGGATAAGGAGTTAGAGTGAGACTATAATTTATGGACGGCCTTTAAGCAACGCTAAAATGACCTTAGGATGTTCATCTATTTACTAGAGCTATATGAAGAATAAAGATTATGATTTACAGTTGATGGTTAAGGTTAGGAAATAGATTTAGAGTTTTCATCACGAACTGATGTCAAGATGCTATTTAAACAAATGGATGAATGAATTCCATGCCAAAATCCATGACCTGTTATCTCAATTCTGATTGGTTCATTCATAAATTATAGTTTCACTGGAGTTACCGTCAGGCATTAGATTTACAATTTTTACCACGAACTGACATAATCTATAGTGTTCAATGAACAGTTGAATTTCACATCAGAATCTTAGTGCTGGCTCATCGTTGAATTAGAGTTCTGCCAAAATATCCAGCTTCATATTTCCATCAAATTTGTAGGTCATCAACTAAAGCTCATTCTTTTCAACATACTACTTATATCATTATCAGTAGATTACCATGTAAATATGTTGTCATTTCTATTGTAGAGACAATTTTTCCATCAACTGGTTGTGTTGAATTATATTTTACATCACATCGTGAACTTATTACAGGTAAGATTTTTATATTATGTTCTATGATCTACTCATATTTAATTCGAATATACGAGGTTTGTGGGAATTGTCGAATGTTATCGTTTACATCATAGATTTTATTCAGTTTGACTATCATTGAAAACTTGAATGCACTGGATGATCTTTTCAGTCTACTATGGGACTATTCTGTAGTGTGTAAGTATAACTATTCATGGAAGCGAAATTAGGATCATCAAGTCGCACCATAAGCTTTCTGAATTAAGACAATTGAGTTAGTATTCAAAGGTTAACATATCGAAATCCAATCAGTTCATCACATGACAAGACACTATTTCAGTATCAACAGATGAGTAACTGCTTCCTACTCAATAAAATAAATATATAAGTTTGAACGTGTCAATTATTCACAAGTATCAAATTCACTTGGTAATAGAAGAACAGTAGGAGTAATCGGTATGTAGTTAGCATAATGGCTGAAATAGTCGAATTAATCATCTACTCACATATAAACTTCTCAAATTCTAATTGCTTAATAACAGTTAGCAGAACCACTTGCAGTGACTGAACACATAAGTAATGATACAAAGGGGAAGCGAATACAAATCCCTCACACAAGTCACTTGACTGTGTTTGAGCTGTAATCCCACCCGAGTGTCCAGATCAAAGTACGTTGTTTTCTAAGGGGCCACACTCGGTGCCTAAGACATGAAGGTCTTATTCAAAAGATAGTGGAGCAACATAAAAAGATGCAGTCTCATGGTAACCAGTGACTAACAGTTGGTTCATACGTCATTTGTTCCTTCAGGATCCTGGAGCTCATGTGCATCAATAATTTGGAATGAGGGTTTTCCAGCTCCCCTAGGTAGAATCTCCGTGTTCACCAACCCGGTTAAAGCAGCTGCCGAGCATTCGCTTTTCGTCCTCTCAATTTCGTAAACAATAATAATGACACGAGAAGGCAGTGAGTAAGACTTCTCTGGTACTGACTGTATACACGCCGCCATGTGAGAGCATTCGGAGAGGGATAGTTGACTCTCCCTACTCTCAGCCGTACCAGGAGATTTGGTCATTTGTAGTGAACGAAAACTCGAGTAAGGGAAATCAATTTATCCTTTAATATAAGAATTACAGAATGTCTTGATAAAATATAAAAACCCTACATTAAATACTTCGTATGCATACCTTTCATTAGTTGTCTCTTGCAAACTTCATTGTACCTTCATTCTTGTTCTCCGCAATTTCGATTTTTTCATTCTTTTACTTCCAGGTATTCTACTTTAAATAGGTCTTATATACTACTTATATCTGTCGATACAAGTAGTATATGCATTATTGAGTAAAGAAAAATTGTCATTTTTATTAGGGTATAGAACTTATCCATAATCCTTATGGATTAATCTTGATTAGAGAGAGAGATAGATAGAAAGAAGAATTGAAAACTAAAGAGAAAGTAATAACTATTTTATGTTAATATGATACTATCTAATAGTTGACATTAACATTATGGAAACCTCAATAGGAAGATACAAGCCAAACAATACCAAGTGAATTGAAATTCACCTCATTGCACAAGCAAGTGGCTATCAGGATTGAGTAGTTGAGTAGATAACGCAAAGGCGTTTGAAGCGAATGGTACTAGGTTCGAGTCCTAGAGTGAATATCAACAAGACTGAGATGCAGGTACATCCAGCTGACCAGTCTCAAATAGGACGAAACGCGCGTCCCGGATTCCACTGCTAGCCACTATCCATCGTTGCTTACAAAAAGATTATGGAAAGTTGTTTATCTCTATGAGTAGAATGAATGGAACATTCCTCAGTAAGTCACAGATATGTAAATAGGTGTATTTAAAAGGAAAGCAATAAGTGTCTAAATACTCATTAAAATTACTACAATATTATTCACTCAGTTTATTCCTTCCTAATATCATTATTGTTTGTCTTTAACGCATGCTTCCAAACTTTCCCTTAACTTCTGATATCAATTCATAATCTTAATCCAAACGAACAATGTTAACATCAAATTATAACCCTAGTTGTCAGTCGTACTTCTAATCGTAAATCATAAGAGAGATTTTCAATCCTGATGTAACTTGTCATTGGACACTAGTATAATAAGTGATTGAAGACCTCGACATCTGAGTGGGAGCATGGAATACAATGAACAGCTCAGAATCAATTTTTTTTGGATTTGGACTTTCCAGATGACCTGACCCTCCAATCCCATACATACGAACAAATGCAGATGAAGACAACTAGCGTAGTAGCAGCCTCTCAATGAGTAGGCTTCAGTATACACTAAGAAGAAAGTAAAATCCTCAAGTACGACACGAACAACAAACTGATCACACATAATGGAGAAACTCTGGAACACGTGGAATCTTTCACGTACTTGGGAAGTATCATCGATGAACAAGGAAGATCAGACGAAGATGTAAAGGCGAGAATCGGGAATGCAGCGGCCGCATTCCTGCAGTTGAAGAACATATGGAACTCAAAACAACTGTCAGCAAAACATCAAAGTCACAATTTTGAGTTCAAAGGTCAAGACACTTCTACTGTACGGAGCTGAAATTTTGGGAACTGCTACAGCCATCATCAAAAGGGTACGATTATTTATAAATAGTTGTCTACGCAAGGTACTCAACATCCGTTGGACGGATACCATTAACAACAGCCCTGTGTGAGAGAGAACAAACCAGCTTCAAGTTGAATAGGAAATTAGAAAAAGACGTCGGAAGTGGATAGGACATACGCTAAAAAAATCACCGAACTGCATCACGAGGCAAGCCCTGAAGAGAAACGGAAAAGAGGAACGCCGAAGAACACTATGTCGAGAATCGGAAGCAGACGTGAAAAGGATGAATAGTAATTGAGAAAATTGGAAAGGATTACTTAGGACAGGGTTAGATGTAGAGTGATGGTGAGCGGCCTTTGGTCCTCCACGAGGAGTAGCGGGTGTAAGTGAGTAAGTAATAAGTGGTTATAAGTATAGAGAGATTGTCGTTAATGTAGAACTTGCATAGTTGAAATAACCAACGGATCAAAACTGGAGCACCATCGAAAACCTTGAAGCACTGGACGGCCGTTTCATCCTAGCATAGTGTTCCTCAGCTGTTGGCAACCATGACAATGGACTCCAGAGTCGAACCAAGGGCCTTTGCTCTCGCCCGTTGACGCCTAACCACTGGATCTCTAAGCTGGGAGTCAGCGGTGTTAATGTCTGACTCCAATCAGCTCATGATATTGTGCAAGCCTCAATATCTTGAACTGATTGAAGTCAAACATTAACATCAATGGATGCCAACTCATTGGCCTAAAGAATAAAACTTCTCATTCGGTCTCCGGTGTTGAGGTCATAGATGCTCACTGCCTAAGAGTTTCATACAAGAACAAAATGGCCGTCCAATGCCTACTAGTCTTCAGTGGTGATCTAGTAAGGATCAGTTCATGATCTCAACCATAATGATAAATTACTTATTTATATCACCTGTGTCCCGGTTGATTAATGACTGGCTTCACCTTCACAAGGTCGTTTTAACATCCTTGAAACTTGTCAGTAAAGCATATTTTTCCTGAAAGTACACTAGAGTGATTTCCTCCCCCACTACCAAACACACGCACATACATACACACACACAAGGGATATGGTAGTAGATAGTAATTGTTAATGTTCTAAAAATACTTTTAGCTGATTGTAAAATTATGCATACTTACTTACTTACGCCTGTTACTCCTAATGGAGCATAGGCCGCCGATCAGCATACATAGAATCTATTTTGTTCAAGATCAAATTACTCAGATCATTATTGAATCACGTTAATATTCCTTAATTTGTCCTAATTCTCTATTACACATCTCACTTTTTTTTTTAATCTTTACCTAAAGTTGATAAGACAGATCCAAATCAGACTGATTAACGTTTCTGGCATAAGTTCTCTATTACAAATCTATATATATGGACATTCCCCCTTTTATTCATCAAAGAACTAATCATATTCCCATGTTATCTACATATGTATATACACAATTAGAGACAATATTTTCAACCAATCATAAGTTGCTAATCACAATTCTTTATTCACTTCTCAAATTTCCATCCGACCTAGTTACTACTACTACTACTACTATTCTTTCTAACCATTAATGACTGGCAGTTCAACATTGTATGTATAAATGTATATATCCTTTAGTTAGAATGTCTGTTCAACTATTAAGTAGAATGAATTTAATGATTGAAATAGGAAGGTGATGATAGGGGTTGTTAAATAACGAATATTAAACTTAGTTACTTATTTAGAAATCATTTACTTAGTTACTTACTTACTTACTTAGTTACTTACTTACCCATTGATCGATGAAATCATTTACAGAAACTAATCGATTAAAACATTTCAGTTTTCTTTCTTTCCTTATTACTTAAATATCTATATATATACATTATTATTACAAAATTTGGCATTCATTCATTCACTCATATTCTCAATTGTTCATTCCCTAGTCTATGGATGGATATATTATTCTAAAATATACATATATATGGTGGATTAAATCTCTATATAAGTAGTATTTAATTGCCATGGTAATATAAAGGATTTAGTATCTATGTGAAGTTAACCTGCTTGGTGATATAATTCTTCAACTGAATTATTCTTTCTATTCATTTGGGGAAAAAAATAGAAAAAAAATAATAATAATAAAGAAGGGGGGAGTGGAATGGTTTACATTTTGATGTTTATTAAAAAAACTTATTATTGATTATTATTATTATTATTATGTTGAATGTTTATTTAATTTTTGTTACTAAGAGCATACGGATAATATAGAACGTGGTTGTTATATATGGACAACAGCTGAACGTGAATCGAATATCTTAACAACAAGAAAACAATTATATGGATTAAATTGTGATCCATTTCAACATCGTGTTCATAATGATGATGATGACGATGATGATCATGATGATGATCATGATGATGAATTCGTCACTACTATTCATGATAGACAAACAAATAAAATTTTCCCAAAATTACATAATTCATCTAGACAAGCATTACGTATATTGATTACAACACAAGAACAATTGATTAGTGTAGCTGGTGGATTATTTACACAAAGTATTAGTGATTCAAAAGCTCCAATGTGGTCTGTTAATCATAATCAAGAACTAACTGGTAAGTAGGATTATTTTCATAATTTATATATGGGATAATGAAATAGAATTACTCGTAAAATGTGTCTAACTCCTCATCTTATTTTTTTTTTTTGGTACCAGTTTAGGAAGATGTTGACAAATGGACTGAACTATGTTAATGTCTGTAATTCATCTGGTTGAAGTCTACCTGAATATTGAAACTAATGACTAGAGACTTTCTGTGACAGTTTAAAATTATTTATGACGACATAGATGTATCCATTTCATGTAGTTTAAAACTTGAATATGGGGGAATCTCCTACACTGGACAGCCGTTTCATCCTAGTATGGGACTTCTCAGAAGTAAACACCCACGACCCTGCACGCGGAATTCGAACCCAAAACCTTCGTTTTCGCGCGTGAACGCTTAACCTGTAGACCACTGAATCGGCATCCAACCATGGTAATGTCTAACTTCAATCAATCCAAGATATTATGAGACCGTCCACCCTTATCTTCACTGAGTAACTGCTACACAATAGACATGTTGATATGACTTATATGGAATGTTAACTTGAATTAGCTTATATGTTAAGTTGGATTTTAAGATCCATGATCAGAATAAATATGGGTAGGATAGGGTGAGAGAAAAAATAGTGCAATTACAATTCGATCAAATTAGTAAGACGTAATAAGGAGGGATGAATCGGGTCTTGGGGAGATTAATAATGATGTTTAATCAATATCAATAATAACGATAATAATAATAATACAAAGATTTGTGAATAAAGATAACAGAGACGATTATATTTCTCAATTGATTGATCACTGGGTGACGATCAATGTCATGCTTGTCTAGTTCTTATTAGTGACAGAATAAAACCATTCCATATAGTTTAAAACATGAATACGGGGAATCCCCCTGTAGTGAACAGAATACACAGGGCAACCGAATGCATTACAGAGTTACTTGATAAAATAGAAAAACCATATAGTAAATCGTTAGTTTGCAAAATATCAATCCATCATAAAAAACCCGACTGTTCCTGTTGCAAACCTCAATCCATTGTCTCATATTTCATTGTTTATGCATTTTCTTACAAATTGCATTGTGTTCCCGTTCTTTCTTTCTTGATCTTCTTCCATCTTCTGCTGCCAGACATTACGTTTTTAACTCGCGTCATATACTACTTACATCAATATAAGTAGCACGCACCACAATACTATTCTGGTATTTGTTTTGAAAACATTTGATATTACTGTGCTAATATAAGATTGTAATTTGAACCAATTCATGTATGTCAGATTCTATGGTGTATATAACTGTCTGATTTACTTACTGTATATGAAAGGAAAACGTTCCGAATCTGTCTACATTTATATTTGAAGAAATGAAATTTGAGAGAACCTGAAGTAATAATCAAGCAGATTTTGTATTGCAGCAATTTGGAAGACTCATCCGGTCTCCCACATTGTACCTAAATAAATGGTTGCTCTGGTTGTCAGAAAAGGCATCGGCCTGGAGACTTCCGAAGAATTTCTGACTCCCAGGGCAGAGTTTAAAAGGTTCGAATAATTTTTTTCTGGTTAGCGTTTTTTTAGCGAGTTAGTTTTCTACAGGACGGGGTCGCTAACACCATGCTCAACCCCCTCCTATGTCCGGGCTTGAGACCGGCAGAAGCCCTCGGGGGGAGGCTCCAGGCAGAGTTGTATTATACTCTACTAAGTCGAATTTAGATTAATAATACATGAATCTATAACAAATATGATAGTTACCACCACATTAAAACCCACTAAATTATACAATATCAAAAAGGTCTGACATGTTTATCTGCGTAAAAATTACATCATGAAAAAGGTCCACACTTGGACATGAATTTTCTCCTCAGAGATTACTAATTAACTAATGTCATGCTGAATGGATAGATATGACTGAAATTACTTATTCTGGTTAGCGTTTTTTGGCAAGGTTGTTTTCTATGGGATGTAGTTGCCGACCTCATGTTCAACCTTTCTCCTTTATTCATGCTTGGGACCCGTAGTAGCTAAAGGCGGAGTTATGACTGAAATTCCCAGAATGTAAATAAGTATTGCGCTGAACCTCTATTACTTTGAATTAATTCAGAATTTTACTCTGCATTGATTCCTATTGATGAACAAACAATATTATTGTAGAAATTTATTTTATTCTGTTAAATTATATCTCATCATTGTAAATTCCAAACAGTACCAGCTCTAAAATCAGTGTTCGTCCGGTTTAATGTTGAATATTTTACCTCTGAACCATAGTGTTGTTGATTTTTAACTTCATTCAGTGTAAAATTAACTTACCCCTATCATCCCTGGTAAAGCATAGACCTCCGACTAAGATTCTTCGACCAACTCCGTTTTGGGCTCTCATTCCCAGTTTTTGCCCAGTACGATTGATTCTTTTAATGTCTGTCCCCAATTGTCGGTAAAATGTGTTCTTTCGTCTACTCGGTTTATTTCTCCCTTAAATATTTAGCATGGTAGAATGAATAAGGTTGAGAATTTCAGATTTTTTTTCAACAGTCAAAGTCAGTGTGATTATGTCTAGACCATAAGGTCTTTGTTTTGATCTTGAGTGGGATTATGTGTTTGAATCACTGTAGACTCCTTGACACTAGTGAAATATTAGTCTACTTCACTCTCGTTTCACAATTTTCCTCTGGATGATGTCAGTCTGTAATAAAAATCACCTTTAAATAAATCTACTGTTTACTGATCTATTTTAAACGACTGATCAATTGACATATACTTGTACCCGACCGTTGCTGCTACCTTGACATGGTGGTCGGGTTTGTTTATTTTGATGAACTAGTCCGGCTACATTGGCTAGAAAAATCGTTCTTCAAGGTCCTACTTTGCGAGATAGGTCAGTTGAAGAACGGTAAGACTAAAATCAACAAACGCAAGGCCAGAGGACGAAGTCGTATTACTGACTGTACAAAAATGTATCGAATGTGAAACAGTTGCCACTAAAAGTGTTGGAAGATTATGGAACTATATTGCGAATTGACTGAAGTTGTGGCTATTTCATTAGATACTAACAAAGTGCTTCTATTGGATATTCGTTCTCCGATACCTGACAGTGTCGTAGATATTCATTCCTACTCTCTTTTCTCAAAAGTACCTTAACTCAGATCAGCCCATGATGAATACAGACTCCAGATATGAATTGTTTACAACGATACCCATATATTAACAGTGTTTTAGAGGTTTGGTAAACTATGAAAAGTATACATAAAATACTTTATTTGCACATCTTCCAACAATCGCACGCTTCATGATTCTTTCAATGCTGTTGATCTTCCAATGGCTTTCCTATTTCCCTCAATTTTCTCTTCAATTCAATTTTCTGCAGCTGAGTATTACACCTCCGATTGATGCTACATACTACTTAAATCTGTTAGTATAAGTAGCGTACACCACAATATAGCTGTCATATTGCATAATATTATATTGATATTGTATAGATTGTCACAAAATTTATTGAACGAGATCCCCATCGTATTGAAACACTAACATATGAATGAAGACTATTCTTTTCAATAGATTCCCTTCAAGTTCTACAATTCATATATCCAAATTAATAATCAGAAAAATGGCCAGATTAAAGGCAAAGTGCATCATTTAAAGTTAAAGCATTTGAATTTAGGTTTTTCAAATAAGATACAATAATTAGATGGTGGTTGGAGGTAGTCGAGAGGAAACCCTGAACCCGGGTTTCGTGCTACTTGGCACTCTTCAGCGAGGTGTACCTGTAATCTTGAGGGAACTGGTGCTCGCCGACGGATTCGATCCCGTGTCATCCGCCTTCACAGTCAGAGACGTTACCACTGAGCTATCCGAGCCGCGACTGACCTCCTGTAGGACTGAGATGTATTCACAATTGATTGATCACTGGGTGGTGATACAATAATCAGATATAATCCGTATAGAGTTGTGGAGATTATTGAGTTTAAATTGCTATCATGAATAGACCACTGTTAGACCGCTATCGAAAACCTGGAATCACTGGACAGCCGTTTCATCCTAGTATGGGACTCCTCAGAAGTAAACACCCACGACCCTGCACGCGGAATTCGAACCCAAAACCTTCGTTTTCGTGCGTGAACGCTTAACCTGTAGACCACTGAACCGGCATCCAACAATGTTAATGTCTAACTTAAATCAATCCAAGATATTATGAGACCGTCCACCCTTATCTTCACTGAGTAACTGCTACACAATAGACATGTTGATATGACTTATATGGAATGTTAACTTGAATTAGCTTATATGTTAAGTTGGATTTTAAGATCCATGATCAGAATAAATATGGGTCAGATAGGGTGAGAGAAAAAATAGTGCAATTACAATTCGATCAAATTAGTAAGACGTAATAAGGAGGGATGAATCGGGTATTGGAGAGAATAATATTGATGTTTAACCAATATTAATAATAACAATAATAATAATAATACAAAGATTTGTGAATAAAGATAACAGAGACGATTATATTTCTCAATTGATTGATCACTGGGAGACGATCAATGTCATGCATGTCTAGTCCTTATTAGTGCAGATCGAATGCTATCGATCATGTTGCAATGTGGCCACCAGTCTAGGTGACTCGACACTGCGGGCACTATATATTGGGATTAGATGGAATCGACTCCGCCAGGGAGCACCAGTTCCCTCAAGATTACAGGTAGAACTTGCTGACGAGTGCCAAGTAGTACGAAACCCGGGTCCAGGGTTTCCTGTCGACTACCTCCAATCACAATTACATTTCTTCATCCGGTTGACTACTGCTTCAGCCCTTTGAAAGACTTTAAGTCTGACAAGCTTTGGCAAAAAATTACTGACCCGATAAATAACTGAAAAGTACTGGTTTATATTCGCAATATGACGAGGTTGCGCTAAATGGGTCAATCTAGAGCTGTTCTTTACCAGACCTTTGCTTAGCCACACTGGGAGGTGTTTGCGAGCACGAAAGTGTAAGCTCTGAGAACTTCGACTAATATAACTTGCTCT